AAGACAGGCACCACAAATAATGCCCCCTCCACAAGTCTTAAATGACTCCGGTCTTCCTTGCAGTCTGCAAAATAGCATCAACCACTAGAGCGACATCTTTCGTCTTGATCAGCACCCGGTGGCCGCCATCCCACTCAATGACACGAGCGGTGTCCTTAACGCAGTCGCGATGTAGCAGTTCCCGATGTATTGCGAGGCCTGGGTCCCGAGTGCCATGCACGTGGATTGTGGGCAACCGCAACTGTAGGGAGGGAGGCCCACCATTGACTACATCTTTGCGCGCGTTATCCAGTGCTACGAGAGGACCTCTGCCCGCGAGGAGAACGGCAAATCTGTATGCAGTGTTCGTTATTGTGCGGTTATTCGGTCCGTTTCGTCTCGCATTCTCCTGCTGCTGACGAAGGAGTAGACAGGCAGCCATTTTCGCCCCTTGACTGAATCCAAGGAGACCAACTATTGGTCCTGTGGCTCCAGCACTATCGTCTGCCAGCACCGCATTAGAGATTGCTTTATCGACGGCTTCCACATCCACGGTTCCAGGGCCCCATGTAACCGACATGGATCCTCCTGCAGTAGGGCGTACCCAGCTTCGAAAGGGTCCCCATTCAGCATAGACGGACTCAACGTCCGGTCCGGGTCCAGAGAGAAAGGGCGCATCGGCAAAGATTAGGCGGAAGCGTTCCTCTAACTGTAAGCTTAGGGAACGGCACTGAGCGCGGAAGATGCGTGCGTTGCTTCCACCGCCGTGCAGACAGAGAATACGGGGGAGGTGAAGGCCAGGGTCAGGTTGGACCGTGGACTCATGGGTCCCAGGTGAGGATTCTGAGGTTATAGTAATCATTAAGTCTTTTGTACTCTGTGTTTGAGCAAGCAGTTCGACTGAGGCCGCCTTGATGGAGAAAGAAGAATAGAGCTGGACGAATCTTTCTGTGTTGGGCAATCTATGGGCCGCAAAGAGGATTTACTTTGAGACTATCAAGATCAACGGACAGAAGATAAAGAGTGAGAATAAAAAATAAACAATGTGAACGGGGAGAAAAGTTATGTGAGTGCTCTTACTAGTGGAACCTCGGAGGTCTCGTCCTTCCTTATCGCGGGGGGGAAATGTCCAACACCGAGTTGGAGTCAATGTAGGGCGTTTGTGACATTATTGGAGATATCCTTATCACCCAGCCCCTCGTCCACAACCTACCTGGTAAGAACACTCCTCCATACATGGGGTCTAGTGGAGATGTGCCGAAATGGACGAAATCCGCATCCCTGGTCGCCATTCGAGGAAGGTAAGCCCACGTTTCGTTATCTCGAAAGATAATAATCCAGCGGATTGGCTGCTGCACGCACAGAGCAGGCAGCAGTCGCTGCAAGACGATGTCGTGCTAGGTGCTTGGAATGGCCGAGAACATGCCATCGATGTCGGTTGTTGCCATTCAGGATCAGATTCCCTGCGCCGGGAGCTGCTGTAATTCGTATGCTCGGTATCACTAAAGCTAGCTTTCTGCAGGTTGCTGATCCAATATCAGTCTTACAACGTACGTCCTATCCAATGCCGAGGGTCCTCGTGTTTACCGATCTTTGATTCCTCATCCCCCCCATAGTCATAATAGCTGTCTTCTATCAAACCACTCAACCAAAGGTGTCTAGACATCCATATCTAGCTAGTTGGAGATGATAGCAGCGGGGTAAACACAGCAGGGATAAACAATAGTCATAAAAGAAATACTCTCATGTGTCAATTCAGTGACTACTTGCGAAGAACTTGACTGCCCTACAACACAATTTTCCTCGTGTCTCAGTCCCTCTTCAGAGAAATACGACAGCCAAGAGTGATCTTCAATGCAAATTGATCCTTTTACCTTGCAAACTTTGCTGACCACCACTGAAGCCATCCGTCTATCATGGTGGCTTTGATTAATCTGACAGGGATGACGTGCAGATACGAGTGCAGAATACGTATAGCGACTTTATTTATTTTCGGACTCCACCCGCGCCTTGCGCTCAGTGGCAGACGAGAAATTGCAGTTAAGACACGAGGAAGGCTAATGCGCCTGACACCGGAAGTCCGGTCGACGTGGTAGATTTTAGGCAAATTGCGCCTCCTCGTGAAGCCCATTTGGACTCGCGGTTGGAGGACACATGGCCAGGGGAAGGTCAGCTAACCAGTTGCGGATTCCCTATTGGCTCGATATATAGACGAAGAAACGTCCCTCGCAGGTGAGAAGCTCGCTTGTTGATGATTAGCTAGAGCATGAGACAGGGGCCTCGGAAAATCCCTGTCTGGCTACTTACGCCATCGGCTGACGGAATTCCACCATCCGTGCTTTTTTATACGGGACAATACTGGAGAGCCGATCTTGATGATATAGAAAGGTTACACATAGTAAGTAGGCAGCTTCTATGCTGTACCACCTAACAGGCGCAGGGACTTCTCGAGCCGCGAGCTCCACCTCCTCGTGCCACAAGAAGGCCAAGTTAAAGTGGGTAGACAGAGGGGGAGAGCCGCAGTCAGTCAAGCTTCTAAGAGCAATCCTTTATAAATAAAAGCAAACCGCAAACTTATCCTACAATAGAGGTTAGCCCGCCCTTGTGAATTCCAGCACCTCTACCACAGACGTCATAGTAAACTCATGTACGCCCGTGCTGCTAAGACGGACCTTATTGTTGGTTCGGCGGACTATAATTTGGCCCCAGAAGTAGCCATTTTTCATCCCCGCCGGTCCGTGCCGCGGACTACTGGATAGGCTTGACCTAACCATTTCCTGCTTTGGAGCGAGGTGCTAATCTCAGATGGACAGACTTGCTGTATCCGCATAAACGGGGGTTTATAGCTTCCTGTCATTGTCCTACTCAAAAGTACGTGGAGGTGGAGTATGTTATTGTATACAGGGATAATGTGAGACTTTGCATGACTCTTATTACCCTAATTAAGCAGGCCACTGGTGCCATTGGCTGGCCGTGAGTACTTCTGAGTTTGCCCACTATACGGCGTACCGCAGCCAGTAATGCAACCCAGCCAGCTACTATAAACTACTTCCGATATCTTATTGGTGCACGCCGACTGATACGAAATCGGCTGGCCTGGTGTAGCTTCGGTCCAACACGAGCCTAGGAAGAGTGTCATCTGGCTGCCATTAATAAACGCCGTTTCTGCCTCGTCAGACACAGGCTTACTTTCTTTGCCCCTAAGCTGACACTTTCAGCTGCACAGAAACCAAATACTTGTTTTAGCTTATTGTTTGATGAATATGGCTGATATTGAGTTCAATAACTTCCTTAACGATCCGCCATTCAGCTACCACGACGAGGATATCCACCGCGCCTTTGACCAGTGGTGTGGGGTGACGTTTCTCGAATCACCTGCAGCGACTAGCGCAGCTCCTATCTATGCTAATAATGGCTCGGACGACATCGAACACATATACACAGTCCTCCACAAGGGTGTAGACCAGGTAGCTGCCAAACTGTCCGCCCACACGCCGCCACGGCTGGACCAGATAAAAGAGCAAAACCGTATGCTCATCGATAAACTCACATCTCTAGAAAGCGCAATCACCCGTGATACTACGGCGGTTGCACTCGGCCCATCTGCATCGGCACCGGATATGGACCGCGAGCGTAGTGGTGCCAAGAAACGACGTGTCTCACAGTCTACAGGGCCTGGAAGACGTAGCGGCCTGCAGCAGCAGTCCCAGGGGTATGGACGCAGGAGTCCTTCGTTTGGTGGGCTTGAAGTCGATTCCAAGCTGGCCAAGAAGCTGCTGCAGATTGGCAACCAGGAAACCGGGACACAAGTGGCCGAATTTGCGGCGCAACTGAAAGCAGCAGAATGCCAGGATGCCCTGCCAACTATCTACCAGTTCTCAGATTTGACGCAGGTCACCGACGTGTCGCATTTCCTGCGGGTGGTTCTACACCTGGGCTGGGCAATTGAAAGCAGCATTTTCGGGGAGCAAAACTCGCGGATCAAGAAGAGAATCGCACTTGCCCACTTCTACAACGCGTACAAGCTGGCCCAGGATCAACCGGACTTGTTTCTCTCGTGGTGTGACGATCGACGGGTGCGAGGCGGCTCGATCCTGCCGAAAGGTGGGCATAAGTCGGTCGTGCAGCATCGTTTTGCCGATCTGATCTTCTCTCGTGGCGGAAACCATGTGGGAATGCCGTCGGCTCGTCCGCTGGACAATGGCGACGATGCAAAGAGAAGGACAGCCAAAATACAAATGTGGAGGAAGAGTGGCAAGAAGTGGGCACAGATCATTCAGCGCTTTGGTTACGGGATACTGCTGCTACTGCCCTCTAGTCTGTCAGACGAGGAGTGAGTCTTCACTGAACCCGGATAGTAGACATGGCTTAACGTGTGAACAGCTTGCGTGTTGCCTCTGACAAGGACATAGCTTCTGCCTTAGATCTGATCGACTCCCGCAAACACCTGTTCGCAGATATTTTACAACAAGCCAATGAGCTTTTGGAAGCGCACTTCTTTCCACAAGGCCAAAATGCTCCATTAATCAATTCATACGGTTACGGCCGTTTTGGAGCAGCGGACTGGGACGATTTCCTGAATATTTCCGCTCTAGGAAATTAGAGGCAGCGATGTTAGACTGGGACTAGAAAGAATAGAGGGAAGAGATATGGCTGGATTTGACTGGTAGTACATTTATTCTACTTTACTTTGTGTTCCATTCGTTGGGACACTCGAGCATGGCGCGACATCACGAAGGATCCAAACATGGAGTGATAATGCCTCCATCTCCTGTCTCGGCAATACCACCTTTGCTGAGTAATGACGTCCGGTTTTGGTCTGGAGTACGTGTCAAGTAGACTTTGTCAGACGGTTCAGACTTCATTTTTTATTACCATTGCCAACTGACAACATATCCTTAAGTCCTGACGTCAGGCATCACCTATTCTGACGGATACATCTACACGGCACGGCCCCGACTCTTGCCTTGCAAGGGCCCTATCGTGTTGAACTATATGCATTATAAATCGTCCCGCTCCTCTTATGTAGTGAACTCGTTGACGCCATAGTACCCATCCCAAAACTTCATCACCTCCACGAATTGTGATCCCGGAGTCTCCAACCGTGGCTCAACATCCCAAATCTTAATCAGATCACAACCTGGGCTGAAAGCAGGCCAATTATCTCCGTGCTCCTGGGCATCATCCGGACTCCCGGTTCGCATAAATCGTACCCAAGCATCCAACATATTCCTCGACAGCCCCCTGTCAGCGTTGGTCCAGTCCCACTGCCATGAATCAAGGGTGCCAAACGCGTATGGGACACCCGCCCCGTGAAAGGAGCCCGCAAACCGTTTCTCAATCACGTCCGAGTCCGGGGGAATGGGTGGCGCACGCAGAAATCGGTAGTACCACACGGACGACTTCAACTTCCCGGCTTGCAGTCGTGCGGAAGTCCACGTTGGCCAGACAAAGACTTGGTCAGCAAGGAGCTGCGATGTTGCAGTCCGAACTTCCGAGTCAGTGTTCGCCGGATACAGACGGAGCACTTCTTCCGCGTGGTCTCCGAAAGTTTCATTCACAAAAGCATGGTAATTTGCCAGTGTATCAAGATGCGGCATCCCAGATGCTTCGTTGCCGACGTTGCCGGCCAGCATCGGCACGTCAACTGCCTTGCACGATAGGAATGCCGTCAGGGGCGATTCAGGAAGGACATGGCCGTCGATGACAGGATTCGATGTGTCAAACACACTCAGACTGGTGGAACCCGGCCACAGATCGGCTTTCCAAGGCCCCTGAGTACGAGGCAAGTGTGCCATCATAAGTTTCTGGGCAGGCAGGGTGCGTAGTTCAGCGATGGATGCGACCCCGAGGAGATCTAGCAGCTCGGCCCCCGCCTCCTCTGCTGCAGCCAGAGTCGTGAAAGTGGCAATGTGACCATGGCCATCAATCGTCGGTGCCACGCCCGGCCCGCTCTCGCAAATGGCCTTGGAAAACAGCTTCTTGGCCAGCGGGGAGGAGCGAAGGATGTGGACGCTGCCACCCCCAGCCGAAGCTCCTCCTATGGTCACATTCCCGGGGTCTCCCCCGAATCGCCTGATATTCCGTTGTACCCACTCAAGCGCCGCGATCTGGTCCAGGATTCCGTAATTCCCCGATCCCTGGTAACCTGACTCGGCGCTCAGCTGGGGATGGGCGAGAAATCCGAATCGGCCTAGACGGTAATTCACAGTGACAACCGTGATCCCTTCGGCAGCGAGCTTTGTCCCATCGTACATGGGGTTGGAGGCAGACCCGAACTGAAAGGCGCCAAAATGGAACCAGACAAGAACGGGCCTGTTCTCAGCGCCTTCAGGGCCGGTGTACACGTTCAGGTACAGACAGTCCTCGCTGAACTCGGTTTCCCCGCCGAAGTACAAGGAGGTGGCCGGCGGCGGGAACTGGATACTGCAGGGTCCGAATCGAACAGCTGACCGCACGCCTGTCCATGGTAGGGGGCGTTGTGGTGGTCGCCACCGCAGGTCCCCTACCGGAGGTGCTGCGTAAGGAATTCCCAGGAAAGCTCTTGTGTTGTTTGGGAAATGGAGTCCGGATAATAACCCGGACTCAACCGTGATTGGAGCACATTGCGTGTGCTTGTGATCCTGGGAGTCGGACATCACTCTTGTACGGATTAGGTAACGCTCTTTATTAACACGGGTCGGGGAAGGGGTCGGAGATAGAAGTAGAAAGAATGATGCCTTGTTTATATGTCCGTGGCTTTACAGGATGGCAGCACTGGCATGCAGGGGTCGTATCATCCGTTACAACTATTGCGAAGCACTCAAGGTTCAAGCCAGAGAAGGAGAGAGGAGCCTTCGTTTCCTGTGGCGCGCAGATGATATACTAACCCTGAATACAACCCATATGTTCGTATCCGGTTGCTACCTACTGTTATTGCATCTGACGCGGGATGGCACGCTTTGGGCCGGCGAACGTGATGACAAATGCATGCTACACCCCATACGCAAGACACTTTGACGTTTGATCTGCCCGTCACGGCGGAGATATTGTAAAGAGATATTGGCAGTGTTGCAACGCTGCATACTCGTTCAACCAATCCCAGTAAAGGTTCCAGAGTTGGAGCCAACTCTCAACTAGATTGCCCCATATCCAATTTTCCATGCCTTCTAGTTCCTGGCTCTCCTGCTCCATGATGGCTGCGAATTCACGCTCCCTCGGCGGAGAAACGATGGGGCTATATGTGATAATGTGGCTGCGTAAATTACTTGTTGTGGTGGCCGCTAGCTCCGGCAAAGAACCGCCAGCCGCATCGCTAAGTTAAGCTGACTCGGATTTAGACTTCGGCCAGCCTCAACAGTCAGCACTATGCTCAACCGCCTTGGTGTATCTCGTTCCGTACTCGGTGGTTATGGTATAGAAAGGCATTGAGAGACTTCGACTCGCGGGTCACAGATTGGATGACAAGGCAGGAGTTACGAACTTACGACAGCATAAGGACAGCAGTGGAGAGTAGTCGAGTGTCTGCACTCTGCAATTCCATATAAAAGTCGCAGCCTGCGGCCAGTGGTAGAATCTAGATATCGTTCAATTGATAGACGAGACCTGAGTGAAGATTCCATTGTGGCAGAGACTCAGGTTCACTCCTCTTGGCACAGTATACCCTCATCGTACTTCTCTCCATCACTATATCCCATTCTTTATGGATTACCTCTGGACTGGCCTCGCGGCCGTCATAGCCTATACGGTTTACGGCGCCATTTGGAGACTGTATTTGAGCCCTATAGCTCACTTCCCGGGGCCGAAACTGGCAGCACTCACAAGCCTGTAAGGACTTCTGGAGTTGATTGCAGAAGTATGTGTAACCAAAGCTGATTCCGACCAGGTACGAAGCATATTACAACAATTGGCTTGGAGGAAAGTACATCTACAAAATCCAGGAGCTGCACGACAAGTACGGACCAATCGTTCGAATTTCGCCTTCTGATCTGCATGTTGGGGATCCAGTATGTCCAAGGTACTTTTCCCAGCGCATCGTTTCCTATTCTCTGATTACTTGGACAGGACTTTTATGATATCCTTTACCCCAGTACTACAAGTGGAAGACGGGCGAACAAGTCACCTAGTCTAACCAAGTTCTTCGGACTAGACGATTCGCTGTTTTCCACGATTGACCATGATATCCACCGGATGCGCCGCACCGCTCTCTTACCCTTTTTCAGCACTCAATACGTGAGGAAGATGCAGCCAGACGTCCAGGAGAGGCTGGATGTCATGTTCAAAAGAATGTCCGGCTTCAAGGATACGGACGAGCCAGTGAACGCGAACTGTATGTTCGCAGCGTTTAGCAATGGTGAGCGAACTCGAGAAATAACGTCTGAAAAGCGAACTGACAATTCGGTCAATGAAGACATAGTGCAGAAGCTCGCTTTTGGGCGATGCGCCTACAAACTTGGTAAGCAACCCGGTCTAGACGGATAATACAAGTTAACGCCGGTTGTTCTCAGAGACTCCGAGCTTTGATTCATCGGACCGCGATGCTTCTTTGGCAGGCGCACAGTCCTTCCACCTCTTGAAACGTATGCCATGGTTAAACACCGTGATGATGCCACTTCCGGAATCACTTGCCAGTCGCCTGAATCCCGCACTTGGCTCGTACATGCGTCAGAAGAAGATGACCCGGAAGCATGTCGAACGGCTTGCGTCTGAATCGAAAGACAAAATGGCGGCAAGCGAGACTGGGGCAATCTTTCGAGCCGTTCTCGAGTCTCCCAAGCTGCCACCGGAGGAGAGGTCGGTGGGACGGGTGGCCCAGGACGCCCAGATGTTACTCATGGCCGGTACACTCACCATGGCATCGACACTGGAACACTTGATCTACTGGATGGTGGATAATCCTGAGGTGCTGAGGAAACTCAAGGAAGAACTGCACAGCGTGATGCCCTCGGTGGACGACGCCGGCAAAGTCCCGCTTACAACGCTGGAGAGCCTTCCATACTTGACGGCGGTTATCAAAGAAAGCGTTCGGTTGATCTATGGGAATTCAACACCCCACTTCCGCTATGACCCTGACCAGTCCCTGGTTTACGAGGATAAGACGACCGGTAAGCGCTGGGTGATCCCCCCAAAGACCTCTGTCGGCATGACCAGCGTGCTGCTACACCACAACGAGCGCAATTTCCCCAACAGTAAAAAGTTCGACCCGGACCGCTGGCTGGGCGATGAGGGCAAAAAACTGGAAAAATACCAGGTCGGCTTCGGCAAGGGCAGCCGCATCTGCCTGGGGATGAACCAGGCGTATGGGATCTTACGTCTGGTGCTGGCCCATCTCTGGAGATTGTGGGCCAGTCCAGACGCGAAGATTGGGGACGAGATTGGGGTGCTCAGTCTGTATAACACGAGCCCCTACGACGTCCAGATGAACGGGGACTTTTTCGTGGCGGCGTATAATAAGCCCCAGGGTGTCGAGTTCAAACTCACTAGCATGTAACTAGTCTGTGATTGCCTAATATGACGTCTAGACAGTCCTGCTTCCATTTGAATTGTCGCCATGATTGTAGGACGATTACAAATCCTCTACTGTATTAATCGTCAGCACAATTTGAACAAGATTATGCTACCCCTGCTTCCACATGGCTGCAGGACTAGACGAATGCACCCCTCTTTCCCTGTATACCAAGAGTCCCTGGTCTACTGTAGTCCGGTGTCGTAATGATCCTCTTCCTCGTTGGCTCCTCCATTGTGGGCGTCCTGTTCAAAGTACTATACGAGTCATATATTAAATCCGTTCAAACCAGCCCGTGATAGTCCCCGATATTCGTACCTAGAAATGGCGGCCAAGGTAGAATGTCGTCGAATTAGATACGATGAAGCAATCCACCTCCCTCGTGTCTACTGTCTACTCCACAACGGCTGATGTTATTGTCTGCGTGCGCTGTGTATAGGCTTATCACGATCTTCGGGGTGGGGTATCGAGTGGATTGAAGCGATAGAAGGCTACTCTAAGACCAGGCCCCCTACCCACGTGTGTCAGACTTTATGAGCATATATATTTGACGTTCCTGTCACCGAACATTTCTTCTCGACCGTTTTCCCAATCTCATACTCCATTTTTACTTATCAGTCTCCTCAATGTTATCCTTGGCCGCCGATAGTCTTCCCTCGCTCTTGGTCTTCGGGCCACAGACAGAATTTCCATCGGACCAAGTCCTTCAAACCTTGCGCCAGGAGCTGATTAGTAGCCCTCAGCTATCTGCTCTCAAGGCAGCAGTCGATGAATTGCCTCAGTTCTGGCAAGGCTTGATCGACTTCGATCCGAGTCTGCGCCAGGTCCCCGGGGGCAAATATCTTGCTGATCTGAAGCAATGGGTCAGGGACGGCGGGCCCTTCCCTAACCATCAAAGCAACGCACCTAACCATTATGGTCTCACTGTCACTGTCCTACTGCAAATCATCCAGTACAGCCGCTACCTTGGCCAACTCGGCAAAGACGCGCATCGCAAGGTCCTGAACAGCGTCAAGGTTGGAGGAATCCAGGGCTTCTGCGTTGGCTTTCTCAGCGCCGTTGCTGTGGCCAGCTCAAGGAGCGAAGCCGACATTGGTCCTTCCGCAGCTACTGCCCTTCGTCTTGCCGTGTGCGTTGGGGCCTACGTTGACCTAGATGGCCTATATTCCTCGGCGGCCACAGAATACGTGGCTGTGGCTATCAGGTGGAGGGAAGAAGACGCTGAAAAGGCCGCCAAGTTTATTAGGTCAATTCCTAACGTGAGTAGCACTATTATTCTTTCCTCCGGTAAAAAGCACACTTGGGATGGGGGCTTACCACTTCTTCCACTAGGCCTACATTTCCAGTATCAACGACGAGGCGAGTGTAACTGTCACCATTAGGGCTGACGATCGCGAGGGCCTCATTGACAAAGCTCGCGAGAACAACCTGCGTACTAAGGATGTTCATGTCTATGGTCGTTTTCACACCCACGACCACTCTCATGCAGCAGATAAGCTTACGAAACTGGCGGCGTCCTCGAAGGGGTTACAGTTTCCAGACGCGGAGGAGCTGCAGGTTCCAGTCCGCAATACTGCTGATGGTGACATTATTTCCGGGGGCTCCTTGACTCGGCTTGCCCTGGAGAATACCCTGGTGAACGTCGCGGACTGGTACGCAACGCTGAGGGCTTCCATCCAACAGCTACCCAAGTCAACCCAGACAATCGCATTTGCCGGATTTGGCAGTTCCATTCCGGCGTCCATTGCACAGAATTCAGACCTCCGGATACTTGCCTTGGGCAACCTTGAAGAGTCCAAGCCAAAGGGCGAGAAAGTCCTCGATGACGGCCACGTCAATGGCCATGTCAACGGTCATATTAATGGTATCAAGCGGGTCAAGGATATTCACAACTCCTATGACCTGTCCCAATACCCGGCGCATTCCATTGCTGTCGTCGGTATGGCCGGCAGGTTCCCAGGTGCTGACTCGGTCGATGAGCTCTGGGATCTGATCATGGAGGGCAAGACAACGGTCGAGCCTGCTCCCGTTGAGCGTCTTGGACTGCCCCAAACTGGAGACTACGAAAACACAAAGTGGTGGGGTAACTTTCTGAAGGATCGAGAGGCCTTCGATCACAAATTCTTCAAAAAATCATCTCGCGAAGCTCTTGCCTGGGATCCGCAACAGAGGATCCTGCTGGAAGTTATCTACGAGGCATTGGAGTCGGCGGGCTATTTCGGCGCCTGCAACACCTCAGAACCACTCGATTATGGCTGCTATATCGGTGCCGTCATGAACAACTATTACGACAACCTCTCGTGTCATCCCGCCACTGCGTACGCCACAGTCGGAACTTCACGATGTTACCTCAGCGGCTGCATGAGCCACTACTTCGGGTGGACAGGTCCATCGTTGACTATCGATACCGCCTGCTCCTCGTCTCTTGTTGCCATCAACACGGCCTGTCGAGCCATCTGGTCTGGCGAATGCTCCCGCGCCGTTGCTGGCGGCACCAACGTGATTTCGAGTCCGTTTGACTATCAAAACCTCGCCGCTGCTGGCTTCCTCAGCCCGTCAGGGCAATGCAAGCCTTTTGACGCGGACGCCGATGGCTACTGCCGCGGCGAAGGCGTAGCCGTGGTCGTTCTCAAGCCGCTATCGGATGCTATTAAAGATAACGACAACATCCACGGCGTCATTGTCGGGTCTGCTGCCAACCAGAACCACAACGTCGGCAATATTACGGCCCCATACTCGGGCTCCCAAATCGAGCTTTACCAAAAGGTAATGAAGCTCGGTGGCGTGCAGCCTGAGGCTGTATCATACGTTGAAGCCCACGGGACCGGAAGTGAGTGCATTGACAATTCTTTCTCTTTCCCTCTTGGTCCAAATGACTGACCGTTCCATATAGCTGGTGTTGGCGATCCAATCGAGGTCCGCAGTATTCGAGACGCTTTCGGTGGGCCTCAACGAGACTCTGTTCTTCATTTCGGCTCGATCAAGGGTAACATCGGCCACACCGAGGCTACTGCCGGAGTGGCTGGTCTCATAAAAGTTCTGCTGATGATGAGACACCGAAAAATAACGGCCCAAGCGAGTCACGAATCTCTGAATCCTAAGCTCCCCGCGTTCGACCAGCACAAGATGGCCATTCCTCGAGGTATCATGCCCTGGCAGGCTCCCTTTCTTTTGGCTTGTGTCAATAGCTACGGTGCAGCCGGCAGTAATTCGGCCGTGATGCTTCGCCAGGGACCATCTCTCAACTCCCAGCCAGCACCCGTGCAGCTTTCCAAGTATCCGCTCTTCATCTCGGCTGGGTCTCTCAACAGTCTTTCCCAGTACAGCAAAAAGCTGCTCAGCTGGTTGAAAGACAACAAGCCAGAAGCTCGCTCAAATTTCCTTGCATCATTAACTTTCAATCTTGCAGATAGGGGCAACCACTCACTGCCTCATGTTCTTGCAACAACCGTGAGCAGCGTTCGGGATCTCGAGGCCAAGCTTGAAGCAACGGCAGCTGGCTCGGGAGAAATAATCTCCCAATCCCAAGAGTGCAAACCTGTAGTGCTCGTGTTTGGGGGTCAGGAAAGCAACTTCATCGGCCTTTCAGAAGACGTATACCGGTCCTCGAAGGCGTTCCGTGAACACCTTGACGCTGTCAACGATCTCCTAATCTCCGCTGGGCTGGAGAGCTTCTACCCCTCTATCTTTGAGTCAAAGCCGGTGGAGAACCTGGTGACTCTTCACTCGGCCCTCTTCGCCGTCCAGTATGCCTCCGCCAAAACCTGGATAGACTCCGGGCTCAAGGTCAGCGCAGTCGTTGGCCACAGCTTTGGTCAGCTCACAGCATTATGTGTCTCGGGCGTGCTTACACTCCCGGACGCCTTGAAATTGGTTGCAGGCAGGGCTGCTTTGATGCAGAAATACTGGGGCCCTGAGCCGGGTTCCATGCTGTTCCTGCAAGCCAACCGCACAACGGTGGAGGAGATCCTTCGGGCCGTGAAGTCTGAGCGCAAAGGCCTCTACGCTGAGATTGCCTGTTACAACGGCCCCGAGAGCCATGTTGTCGTGGGCTCTTCCGAGGCTATCGACTTCTTGCAGCAGCATGTTGCGAACACGCCACGTCTTCGGGATTCAGTGCGCAACAAGAGGCTCAATGTCACCCATGGGTTCCACTCGCAGTTCACCGAGCCGATGCTGTCCCATCTCGACTCGATAGCCGTACAATTGGATTGGAGACGTCCAGAGATACATCTCGAGACTACGGATGAGCTCGAAACCAATGCCGAACCGGACTTCCAGCTCGTTTCAGAGCACACAAGACGGCCCGTGTTCTTCCAAAGAGCGATCGAAAGGCTTACCGCCAAGTTCTCACAATGCACTTGGATCGAGGCCGGTCGTGGATCCTCAGTCATGCAGCTCGCCAAAATCTCTGTGCCCGATTCAAAGGGGCATACATTTTATTCTCCCCAGCTCACATCGGCGAATGCGCAAGACTCTCTCACAGATATCACGGCCAATCTCTGGAAGAGCGGGTATGCGACACAATTCTGGCCATTCCACCGGACTCAGAAACTGGACTACGAGTACCTCAGCCTGCCCCCGATCCAATTCGAGAAGACACGCCACTGGCTTGGATTCACAAGCAGAAATCCCACGGTAGACCATGCCGCGTTGGAGCCCGCAACAGACGCGAATGAAACCCATGAGCTGCTCACTTTCCTCAATTTCAAGGATGCGTCCAAGAATGAAGCAGTCTTCCAGATTGACCCGCAAGCCGATCGCTTCCAGCAAATGTTGGGCGGACACGTCATGGCCGGACAGTGTCTTGCTCCGGCATCCCTCTACTTTGAGCTGGCGGCCCGCGCAGCCCTGTTCCTGGAGAATGACACCCAGGCGACGACATATGTCCCTACAGTGGATGATCTGCTTATGAAGTCTCCAATTGGCCAAAGCACTACCAAGAGGATTAGGCTCGTCTTGAAGAAACTGGCCGACAGTCGTCCTTCGTGGTCATTCTCCATCACAACGCAGGACATGGAAGTCCAAAAGGCGGAGCCCTTCGAACATTCCACGGGTCGGGTATGCCTTAAGAAGCGCGATGACGTGCAGGCTGCACGGGAATTTGAGCGCTTCGAGACTCTCACAGGCCATCGCCGATTCGAAGAGGTGATGAACCACCCCGACGCCGAAAAGATGCAGGGCAACCACATCTACCGCGCCTTCAATACCGTCGTTTTCTACGGCGAGGCATTCCGCGGTATCAAACAGGTAGCGTGTGTGCGCATGGAAGCCGCTGGAAAGGTTAGGATCACCCCTGCTCGAGAAGATGCACCCGATCAGCGGCTATGTGACACCCCTATGACGGACAGTTTCATGCAGTTCGCCGGGTTCCTGGTAAACTACTTCAACAACCCAAGCATGGAAGACGTACTGGTCTGCATGAAGATTGAGCACATCGAAATTGGCGGGGGCTTCGATCCGGATGCAGGAGAATGGCTGGTGTATTCGACCATGAGCGAGGGTGGGGAGACGGACGCCTCGTCGGACGCATATGTCTTCGATGCCAGAACCAAGAAGATGGTCATGGCGGCATTCGGCTTCCGTTTCTCCAAGATGTCCCAGGCCTTGCTAGCCCGAATGCTGAAGAGCGTCAACAAGTCTGCCGCGAACAGCAAAGTACAGCCAGCAAGGGAGGAGAAGCTGGTGGAAGCTGCTCCTGCTGCCTCTTACATTGAACAGCCAGCTGCAGCCACTCCGGCAAGGCAATCTGCCAGCAAGCGCCGGGAACTCCTGCAGATCTTGTCCAATGTTACCGATGTACCGATCGAAGAACTCACAGACGATTCGTCGTTGGCCGACCATGGAGTAGATTCTCTGATGGCTACCGAGGTGCTCAATGACATTCGGTCAGCCTTGGGTCTCACCATTGACCTGTCAAGTTTCCTGTTCTTCCCCAACATCCGAGAGCTCGTCACCTACGTTGATGATAAGTTGGGTGTTAGCGGAGGAGATGAAGATGGCCACTTAACTGATACGCCATCCTCGTCCAATACGGACTCTGTGGGTAATGATACTCCCACCAAATCCGGAACAGCCACGCCAGAATCAATGAGCAGTATTGAGGAGTCAAAGACTGCGGACCTACGGCCTACTATCACCTCGGCCCTTGACGCCTTCAAGGAGACGCGCTTCAATTACGACCGACTAGCCGAAACTACACAGGCCGTCGGCTTTTGGGAAAAGGCATACCCCCACCAGGCTCGACTAGTCCTGGCCTATGTCGTGGAAGCATTTGCCGACTTGGGGTGTTACTTGAGGAAGCTTCGAGCTGGCGACGCCGTGCCTCAAATCCACGCTCTCAAGAAGCACACGAAGCTGGTGCGTCAGCTCTACCGCATGCTCGAAGACGGAGAGCTCGTCATCTCCTCCAAGGACAACAACGGCTTCATCCGAACGGACGTCCCCGTTGACTCCACCTCTGCCGAGTCCATTTACCACGAGATCATTGACCTGTACCCGCAGCATGCCAGCGTGAACAAGTTGGTGAGGACCGTCGGCTCCGAGATGGCTGCGTGCCTGCGGGGTGATAAAGAGGGTCTCCAGGTCGTCTTCGGCGATCGAGAAACCAAAAAGACGCTGGAAGAGATGTACGAGTTCTCTCCACTGCTACGGACCCCCACACTCGTCCTTGGCGACTTCTTGACCAAGGCCTTTACCAAATACGCCACTGGTGGGGGCAAGTTCCGCATTCTCGAGATCGGCGCGGGTACAGGGGGTACGACGCGGTATATTATCAACCACCTCAAGAGCCAGGGTATCGACTTCGAGTACGTCTTTACCGACCTTGGCGCTTCGCTAGTCAACGCCGCTGCGAGGCAGTTCAAGGGCACCGAGGGCTTGTCGTTTGATGTCCTGGATGTCGAGAAACCCCCCAAGCCCGAGTACGAGGGCGCGTTCCACTGCATTATTGCCACCAACTGCATCCACGCTACGAGGAACCTGGAAGTGTCCCTCCGGCATGCTCGACAGATGCTACGGGACGACGGAGCTCTGGCACTGATTGAAATTACGAAGAACATGTTCTGGCTCGATATCGTGGTCGGCCTGCTCGAAGGCTGGTGGCTGTTCGAGGATGGTCGGGAACATGCGTTGGTGAACGAGAAGCACTGGGAGCGCCGCATGAAGGCAGCGGGCTTCAAAGAGGTGTCATGGAGCGATGGCAGCACGCCTGAGTCTAAGACGGTCCGGGTCGTGGCTGCGTTTCCAACCGGTTCACCAACAGCCCCCGAGAGGCGGGTGAAGGCCGCGATGGAAACAGTTGTTTACAAGAGGATTGGAGACCTTGAGGTTCACGCCGACATCTATTACCCCGTTGAAAGTGAAGTGCTGCCTGAGAGGAAAATGCCAGTCGGTACGCGATAAGTTCTATGTCTTTTCCTCTCATGTTTGGTTTTGATGCTTACGATATGATATACAGCTTTGATGATCCACGGAGGCAGCCACATGTTATTCAGCAGAAAGGACATCAGACCCGCTCAGACACAGCTCTTGCTGAGGAAGGGCTTCTTGCCAGTTAGCCTGGATTACCGACTTTGCCCCGAGGTCCCCCTAGCGGAGGGACCAATGGTGGATGTGTGCGATGCTCTTGACTGGGCTCGCAACCAACTGCCTAGTCTTCGTCTTCGACGGTCCGGGCTACAGATCGACGGGGAGCAAGTGGTTGTGATCGGGTGGTCATCGGGTGGACAGCTCGCCATGTCATTAGGCTGGACGGCGCCGCAGCGCGGTTTACCTCCCCCGGCAGCTGTCATCGCCTTCTACGCGCCTACCAACTACGAGGATGAATGGTGGCAGAACCCCATTCAGCCGATAGGCGCCGAATACCAGGGCCAGCAGTACGATGTCCTCGACGGCGTCCGTGAAGCGCCCATTACCAACTACGAAATGGTGACAGCATGGGAGGAGCCCATCAAGGATCCGCGCAGCATGGACGACGACCGCTGCCGCATTGTGCTGCACATCAACTGGAAGGCGCAGACCCTACCGGTCATCCTGAACGGGTTGCCGAGCCGGAAGAAGGCCGCGGCCGAGCACCCAGACGTCGAAGACTGGAACGCGCTGCCGCAGCCGTCGCTCGACACCATCAGAGCCGCCAGTCCGCATGCCCACATCCGTCAGGGCACTTATACTGTACCGACCTTCTTCGTCCACGGCACGGCCGATGACCTGATTCCCTGGCAGCAGAGCGAGGGGACGTATCAGGCGATGGTTAAGAGAGGGCTCCAGGCCGAGCTGGTGCTTCTGGAGGGAGCTCCGCATATCTGTGACTTGAGCAGCGATCCCGAGTCGGACGGTTGGAAGGCAACTCTGAAGGCGTACGATTTTATTGCTTCATATGTTTCTTAACCATGTTATTCTAGGATAGAGAGTGGTATGCAGATAGTCCGATGGAGCTCGCGTGCATGAAACATATTATCAAGTCATCTCAGTGAGGAATGTAGATATTTGATCTATTCTTTGTTGTCCTAATTAACATTGTATGTGCATTGTCTGCAAGTGATAGGGTATGTCTACCGGGCCACATAACTCAGCAAGAAATCAGCAGTCAGCGAAATATTTTTAATCAAGCCTTGACCTTCAGCGAGACCCCAGCCTTCATGATTCGAACCACAACAAGGATGAGGCCAGCGACACACCCGGCGACACCACCGTAAACCCACAGACCCGTCCAATCCAGAGGTTCGTTTTTCCCGAGTATGGCACCACCGCTTGGCCCACCAATCAACAGGCCCAGTCCACCAATCGCAAAGCCCTGGCCGATGCGCGTTCCAATCATAGACTTGTTCGCTGTGAGCACACGGAAGCACACAGGAGGCAGGGCGACGACGACGCCGCTGAAGAAGCCAGTGACGAGTGCCTCGACGATCATCCCGGCCTCATTGTGCACGCCGAGCATACACAGCACTGTGACGCCCAGGAGCAGTGTGATGGGCACCATGGTGTTGAAGACGCCTATGCGGTCCGACAGCGCGTTGGGGGCGATACGCCCAAAGAAGGACCCGGCGTTGAAAATGGCGACCATGTAGAAGGCCAGCGAGGTGTCGGTGAAGCCGCGGTTCTCGGGGTAGAAGGAGATGTAGAAGATGAGGACTGCGTTGCCGATGAAGAGGATCACCACACTCAGCGTGAAGACCATGAACGGGACGTCTGTAAAGGCGGACCAGTCGACGACGGCGCGGGGCTTGGGAGCGCGTATACGAACGCGCATGACGGCCAGCGGGATGACGAAGGTGCCGAGGGCGATGAAGCCGAGGGTGCGGACAGCCCAGGGGAAGCCGACCGGGCCGAGGAGCCGGTAGAGCACGATGGGGTAGATGATGCCACCGAGGGAGGAGCCGGACGAGGCGATGCCGACGGCGAGGCCCATGTGCGTGCTGAACCACGTCGGGAGCAGCGACACGGTAGGCGTGAAGAGCAGGCCGCCGCCGATACCGATGCAGAAGGCCTGCGCCAGCAGGGCCTGCCAGTATTCCTTGCAGAGGGAGAGCATCATGAGACCAAAGACGACCAGGAAGCTACCGGTGAGGAGGAGCAGGCGGAGGTGGCCTCGGTCGTAGATGGGGCCGGCAATCAGCCCGGTCAGCTGAAGGAGGAAGCATTGGATGGAGCCTATCCAGGAGATCTCGGAAGAGGAGGCCTGGAAGAGCTCGCCGCTCTCGTAGTAGGTTTGGAAGACGGCAAACGTGTTGATCATGCCCCATGTGTTGAAGAAGAGAACGAAGCCCGCGGCAACCTGGAGCCATGCCATGAGTCCACCATTAGGAGGCGGAGGAGGTCCGCTGGGGGCAGCTGGAGGCGGCGCCAGTTTCTCATCGACCTCTTTGGTGCTGTCATTGCTATCGGAATTCATTGGCGGCCTCTCTTCTCCGGGCACGTCTTGCCTGGGCACGTCTTGGACGGGTGGTTGAGAAGCCATAGTTGATACTGCAGTAAGGAGAGATAAAAGGTGACTTGTCTGGCTGTATTCTCGGAGGAAATAGAGACTTAAGTAGGGGGTGTGTTGGACCGATTGCTTTTTCCGCCGTGACGGACAAAGGGCGTATATTATCTATATAATTAATTCAATGGAGCTGACAAATCCACTTCGTCCGTCACGGCGGAATTAAGAATCTGACAACATCCAGACAACATCCTCGAAACCATCTCTACGAAACAAGGAGAGCACTCTAGTCGGGCAGAAGTCATGGAAGAGTCGGTTACGACAAAACTACATCACCAAGAACCATCGGCTAAGCGCAGGAGGGTGCGCAAGGGGACGCGGTCATGCTGGGAATGCAAGCGGCGGAAGATCCGGTGCATCTTCTCATCCCCCGATGATGTCGCTTGCATCGGCTGCCAGCACCGGCGTGCTCCCTGCGTCAGTCAGGACATGCCCGAGGATTTGTCTCCGGCAAGAAAAGGCAACCGGCATCTCAGCGAACGCATCGCAAAAGTCGAAGACTTCATCAAGGACTTTGTTGCTAGCAAACACGCTGGTGAAGGAGAGCCATTGCAAGACAGGCACTCGGATCAACCAAAGACTCACTCAGATGATTCAGCGCCCGTATCAGTTCGAGCTACACGAACACTTGACTCGCAACCTGTATCAGGTCGAGCCAAAACTGAGACAACCGCCCTCCATCACCTATGGGCGGCCTTTCCAGCTGAAGATGATGCCAAGATCCTGCTCAGGGAGAGCTCAAGACCGTCGCTTTATACCGATTTCATCAACACCCAGCCGCATAGTAAGCTGACGCTCGAGTCGCTTGCCGCGCCGCACCCGATGCCTCAACTGCCTAGTCCCAACACCCATCCGGTCATTCTGGCCAAACGGATGCTCATGTTTGCAATCACTCTACAGAGTCCGTGTGGGGAAAAGGTTTGTGGTCTTTCTGAACCACAAGGCGTACTCATGTCTCGCTTGAAGACGGCTGCAACGACATGGATAACGACAAAGGAGGAGATGCATGGAACGGTCGAGAGCCTAATTTGCATCATCCTAGAGGGTGTCTTTGAGGTAAATTGTGGGAATCTTCGACGGGCTTGGCTTGTCTATCGCAGGGCAATGACAGTGGCCCAGCTGATGGGCCTGCACCGCTCCCCGATGCCTCCCCTGAAACGCATCGACCCAGAGCTGCAAGCGGACCCCGAGTTCATGTGGTTCCGCATCGTGTATATGGACCGTTATCTCAGCCTGCTGCTTGGTCTCCCTCAGGGCACAACCGACAAGAGTATGGGAGCCATATCGGCTCTGCAGCATGAACCACCCCTCGGCAAATTCGAGCGACAACTCACCGTCATTGCATCCTGCATCTTGGAACGCAACGAAAGCGCATTCACCACAAGCGCAATCATGACAACCCAATCCATCGATTCGGAGCTATTGAGACTGTCCAGGAGCATGCCCACAAGCTTTTGGCGGCCGGCGAATTTTCACAACCTTACCCCCGGATCGCCGGAGAGCCTGTTGGAAACCGTACGCTTGTCAGCCCAGGTCTACTACTATGGCTTGTTGATTCATCTCCATCTACCGTATATGATGCATGGAATAGGCGGTCAGACCGAGCACGAGTACTCCAAGATCACTTGCGTCAATGCCAGCCGGGAGATAATGACGCGCTTCATTGCGCACCGCACCTTTAACCCCACGTCGTCCTGCTCGCGACCCGTGGACTTTTTTGCACTTCTGGCAGCAATGACTCTCCTGCTTGCTCATCTCGACGCTCATCATCATCGTGAAGCGACCAACATCCTCGCTCACCAACGCTTGAGCGACCGCGCCATACTAGAGCAAGCCCTGGAGCGAATGGAAGTCATCAGTAGCGTGAACAAGGACGTAATAACCGGAAAGAGTGCCGAACTGATCCGACGCCTACTCGACATCGAGGCGGACGCAGCCGAGGGACGCAGTTACACCACCAGAAGTGTAACAGGAGATGACGACCACGGGCAGGAGGGCATTGACAAGAAACGTGACGAGCTTCGCCTGCATATCCCGTACCTCGGCGTCATCAAGATTGCGCGCCAGGATTCTATCTCTTGCGAGCTGCCCGGGCCCCACCAGATGGCCCCGGTCGAGTTCTCACAGAGAGAGCCAACACTTGCCGTATCCAACGATGTGTTAGCGTCTTTCCCTCCTGCGTCGTCCGCGGAGGAACAGCCGCTTAACCATCTGCACGGCACTACCCAAGCCTCCCCCTTTCAAGAGGCTCTGCCCGCAACGGAACGGCTAAACGCGCAGTTACATGAGCAGTCCATTCTGCAAGACCCCAGCCCTACCCACGACGACATCACTCTGCAACCGCATGTGGGACTTCCTGCCATCACGGCTGGCGTTAATGACTGGACATTCCAGGGTGTCGACATGGCGTTTTTCGATAGCTTGATGAGAGGAATGCCCGGCGTGGATGCCGAGTTGGAGCAGTAAATAGCGGGTCAATGATTTCAATATTGCCCGCGATATGTTACCTGGTCCTCTTCATGCTTGGCACTTTGATAGTTTACTGCCTCAACAATTCTAAGTCAATAAAACAAATATGCTCATGCCCCCAGTACCTATTTACACGAACATTACCATCCTTCAAATGAAGTCCAATGCAAAGATTCACTTTGAAGTAATGCAGTACCATTTGAGGAGGCATGGTCGGCTTGCCATGGGCCCATAGAAAGCCATTCATACAAAATAATAAGGTTTACGTCTTGCACATTATGTCTACTTAGGCTTGGTAACCCTTTACAGCCATTCAAAGGATAACTAGCTGTAGGATCACCTTTTATCAAGGCCCCGTTCCTCCTGCCAGTCCGCCCTTGCTTCTCAGATAGATTGGCCTTATTTGAATTATTACCTGGAGGACATCTGTTAACTTACAGTGTTTAGATTAGTTTCCTTCTCTTTCTCCCCCAATTCCAGGGATTACTATCATCCTATTCCTTCTAAGTGCTGGGCTCTCAGAAAGTCCCATTGATTGTATGGAGATCTAACTCGCGGCTATGTCCCAGATCTACAATATATATATTTATATGTATATACCCTGCACAGCTTTGTAGTCTATTAACAATATTCAAAGCACTGATGGAAGTTATAGTCAACTTGTCTTGATATATTAGATTCAGCCTGATAGAAAACTGTCCTATTTTCTTCACCCGCATTACTCCTTTAGATGTCTATTCAAAGTTGGTTCTTTACGATCGATCTCCTAGACCCTACTAGGAACTCAGACCCAAGTTCAAGTGGTTGTATAGCCGCTAGCATGCAACCAGGCACAGAGTAAGCCACTACGGTTAGCAATGAAAAATAAATTACATTCCATTTGAATCACTATAGGTAAGAATCAAAGTTCTTGCTGCGCATAGCATGCAATAATATGAGACGATAAATAGGTCCTGACCTCTCAACATTTCTACTGCATAGACCAGGGCTAGAGGAGATTCAGCAAAAATTACTAACAGGACAGCTTACAACCCTCCTGACGCCATCCGCAATGACAGACGGTTCGTGCATCTTTGCCGCCAGATGGCTCACGCAAAGGGCTCAGTAGGGGAGATGGGATACTGAGTGATCTGAAACTCTAATGGTTGCATAAATAATTCTCGACTATTCCTGTCTGCCGCCCCGGCTTCCCTTGCTATTCGATGATAAAGATAGTTCCTGTTTCCGGCGCTTAAACTAGGGGAGCGAGGCTCTTATATTAAAGGGCCGTTCTGGAGCCGTCGAAGGTGAGGTCTCAGTAGTCACTTTTCTCCTTCCATATGTCCAGTATTCTACTTGTACTGAAATCTGTGATTGTTGAGTGTTTATCTCAAGATGTCTTTGAACACGATTCGTAATTTCTCGTCCACTGCGAAAAGACATATTCTCAGTTTGATTGGCAAGGTGACCATAGAGGATGTCCGCAAAACAAACGGCTCTAAAGGGGACGAATGGGTCGCATCAGTCCAAAAGATAAGAGATGAGGTGGAAACTCAGGTAATATAAACTTGACGCTATTCTGTTTTAGAACGAGGTATGCTGATACTGAGTAGTACAATGTTGTGACCAGCTACGAAATCCAGTATGTTTATTCTACTATGCAACGCTTGAGCGAGTCATTTCTTATAACTGGTTTCTAGAGGTGCCAAAGCCCATAAATCTTCCAAAGATCCGACGGACCCGGACGATGTGATCACTGTTGGCTTTTATAGCCAGAATGGCACGAGGCTACTGAGCGGTCATGTTCATGCAGATGGCACATACAAACTCACTGAGAGTCGCGCAGGGAAGGGCAAGGGAAAAGGGCAGCAAGAGAAATGACAATCTCTTCTGCACTAGGGTTGCTATGGGACGTGACAGACATATTACAGGTTTTAGTCAATGAGCAGTTCAACCCTCCATATCTATATATATTTTCTATAGCTGTCTCATTGCTAGTAATTTTTCAGATTTGATTATTGTTCACCAGGGCGACAAGACAACAAACTTCTGGAATCTGGGATCCATGTGCTATTGTAAATTTAGGCGCTGTGTCAATGATTAAATTATAAATCAAGGTCTGAGTTCCAACCAAACGCAGTAAATAATAATATGGGGTAGAAAACATACCTACCTACCTAAGGTACCTGATGTTAGTACTGTAGCGAGCGGAGTATTAACTGCGGTTGGATACAGGCCAATGATAGGGTGTGGTGTGGGTCTGACGCGGCGCTTAGACCGGCGAAGCCCGAGATCACGCGTTACCCGGAAGGTCACCACATCATCTTACATTAAAGACGGCCAGTTCTTTTCTTAAAGGCTATCAAAAATGAGTTTCTGCCTGAGACGTGCCTTGCCGCCTCGTCTGTCACTTATTCCCGTGCGCCGGAGAGTTAGAATGCCATTCTGGACTGCAATCACCTCTTCATTGAAATCATTGTCGACCAGGGCGCCTGGCGTGGCATCGGTGCCAAAACCGCTAGAGGATGCCCGGTCATTTCCCACGAGTGGATTCAAGACCATTGAAGACGATCAGGCAATTGAAGAGGAGGAGTTACCTGACTACCAAGCCCATCGATTCTACCCTGTTCGATTGGGTGAGGTATTCCAGAGCCGCTACCAAATAGTTGCCAAGCTGGGTTTTGGCTCTTCATCAACTTCGTGGCTAGCCCGAGACCTCAGGTAGGCCTACTCGAAAATATCATGGTTTCGAGCTAAGTTGCGCAGAGATCATCAATACGTCGCTCTGAAGGTATATGTTCATACCTCGTTAGTTCACCGGGAACTACCATCCTACAGTCATATTGCTAGCTGTATGAAACGTAGTTCACATCGAGGACGGGGGAATATTCGAAGATTGCTAGATTCTTTTGAAATTACGGGTGAACATGGCAAACATCTTGTCCTTGTTTTTGAGGCTGCCCAAATGAGTTTGCGTGATATGAAGCTGGTATTCCGGCCGGAGGGGTTTGATGAAGACTTTGTTAGGGGGGCTATAACGGAGCTTCTTCAGGCTTTGGACTTTCTGCATACCCATGGGGAGGTTGTCCACACTGGTACTGTCCTTGTCAAACCTTCCTCTCTTTGAGCTCAGCACTGCAGATTTTGGCTGACATGTTGCAGACGTGCACCCTGGCAACATGCTTCTAGGTGCCTATGATAATCAAATGTTCGAAAAGCTTGAGGAAATGGAATTTGCATCCCCAGTGCCACGCAAGCCAATCACGCCTACACGCACTATCTACCTCTCTCGTTTGATGCGTCCCAAAGAAGGCCCTATGCTATTGTCCGATTTTGGTGAGGCGAGGATTGGTCCGGGACCCCACGGTGGCGATATCATGCCTCTGGAGTACCGGGCCCCGGAAACATTGCTCTATATAGGATGGAGCTATCCCGTCGATATCTGGAGTGTTGGCCTTACGGTAGGCCCTGAAGATATTGCTTTTATGCCCCAAGCTAACAGTGACTTAGGCTTGGGATCTTCTAGAGCCGAGGAAGCTTTTTACAGCACGAGACGATGATGGGGACCTCTACGATGCCGCTCATCTGGCTCAGCTAATTGCTGCGTTGGGTCCACCGCCTCCGGAATTTCTAGCTAGGAATCCAGAGAGAAAAGCCGACTTTTGGGACGAACATGGTATGTTGCTTTGCCTGATTCTAACGACTTGAAGAAATTATTTGCAATGATTCAAATCAGAGTCTTGATTGATTAACTATAGCCGCAGGAAATTGGCTGGGTCTTGCACCCATTCCGGATGGCCGGACAATGGAAGCACTAGAATCTCGCCTGGAGAATAACTCGGGCTTCCTTCGATTTATCAGAAGGGCTTTAACCTGGATGCCTGAGCAAAGAGCAACGGCCAAGGATCTTTTACAGGACCCTTGGCTGACGGGGAGGAAGCTTAAAGGATTGTATTGATAATGAGGCAACAAACAGGCTAGAAGAGAAGCCGGATTGGGTCGATATTTACCAGCCTTCGATGGCAACCACGCTCACAATCAGTGAATTCCCATGCTGAATCTTTTTGGCGACTTTGCATTGACCTCTACAGCCACGCTTGAACTCCATATTCCCATCCAAGGTGCAGACCCAGATCCCTGGGCTAAACTCTCAAAATTCATTGTTTTCATATCTGTATAATATCACGCCTTCGGGTACAATGGAGGCTACTCACGTTGCTACTCAGTCTCCAATGCAAGCTACGCTTATCAGGAAGATTGCCTATAGGTATTATTGCACAAATTTAGTTTGTATAGGTTCATATTGCTTGTCACAGTCTTCTGCTCTTCATTACCCAGGTAAACTGGCACTATAGCCTGCATGTGTGTTGTTATGTCGCGCTTAGCACTTAGCTTCTTAAAGGGAAATTGCTGGTACATCAGAAAGCAGCAATGATGTAAATCTATGGCTGTATACCTACAATAATCCCTGTAAATCCAGAGTGCCATATCCTACCCTGTCTAAGCCCGAACTCCGAACTCCGAACTGTAGTATTATTAAAGCCAATCCGGTGTATCTATATGAGCAAGGATTCCCTGCTTACTCACTGTTCAATGGTAGCTATTTAAGAATGGAATGAATCATTTCCTACCCTTCTTCTCCTGATTCTCCTCCATCCTACAGCCTTCAACTTGTACCATGATCGTTTCCTGTGTTCTCCAATTCGCTCTTTGCAGCGTAGCATATGCGACCCAGCAGGTGTTGCGGCCTGTGCCAGACGACAACAATGAATTTCGCATCGTCCAGAGCCATCATTCGCCAGATCACTCAATTCGAATCAAGCAGCAAAACGAGTCCATCTGCGCAGCTGGCTCAGCTCAATACACCGGCTGGCTCGATGTTGGCCACAAGCATCTTTTCTTCTGGTACTTTGAGAGCCAGAATGATCCGTCCAACGACCCACTGACCTTGTGGATGACCGGAGGCCCCGGTGACTCCAGCATGATTGGTCTGTTCCAGGAGGTTGGACCCTGTCTGGTTAATGAACACGGCAATGGGACCTACCACGACCCCTGGGGGTGGTCGCGCAACTCATCTCTGCTTTTTGTCGACCAGCCCGTCGATGTCGGCTTCTCATACATTGATGAAGGGCATGAGCTGCCTCGGGACTCGAAGGAGGCTGCGGTTGACATGCACCGCTTTCTGCAGCTGTTTGTCTCTGAAGCTTTTCCTCGCCTGCAGGATCTTCCTGTCCACCTTGCTGGGGAGTCATATGCGGTATGAAAGATGCTTTTTCTCATCGACCTTGCTGACTTTTCAGGGCCACTATATACCGTACCTTGGTGCTCAGATCATACAGCAGAACGAGCTCTATCCCAATAAGCCACAGGTTCAGCTAAAGTCGTGTCTGGTGGGTAATGGCTTCATGTCCCCGCGAGATACGATGTTCGGGTATTGGGAAACGCTCTGCACCACGAATCCAGGCATCGAGAAGCCCGTATTCAATCAGACTCGCTGCGATATCATGGCCTCGAACATGCCCCGGTGCATGGATGTCAGTGCAGTGTGTGTCCAAAATCCGGATCCAGCTCTGTGCAGCGCTGCATTATCGGTGTGTTACGAGGGTGTAATCGGGTTCTATGAAGATGAGGCCGGTAAAGGGGGGCGAAACAGATTTGACAGTAAGTTGAATATAGAAAAAAAATATGCCAATCATTGCTAAGCGCCACCCAATACAGTCACGGCACCCTGTGAAATCGACGAAATGTGCTACATCCAGGCTGCACGCGTTGAACAATATTTAAACACACCAGCTGTCTGGAAAGCCCTGTCGCCCCCCAAGCAGGTCACTGAATACAAAATGGTTTCGGAAGCAGTCATTCAAGCGTTCGCAAACACTTCAGACGGTATGACGTCCACTTCCGAACTGGTGGCGTTTCTCCTGGCAAACCAGGTCCATTTCCTGGCTTATCAGGGGAACTTCGACCTCGCCTGCAATACAGCCGGGAACCTCCGCTGGGCGCATTCGCTGTCCTGGAAGGGCCAGGCCGAGTTCGCATCCAAGCGACTGCGTTCCTGGCGATCGCTGGTTGCAGCCACAGGGCAGAGTGAGACGGTTGGTACTATGAAGGAGGTTCGGGTGCGTGTGGGCGATGCAGAGACTGAGTCGCGGTTTGCACTTGTCACGGTGGATGGTGCTGGTCATCTGGTGCGTCTACGACTGGGTACGATAAGCATTAGTTGGTGCTGATTTGCTGGCAATAGCTTCCTCAAGATCGACCAGATGTAGCGCTTGATATGATGGTTCGGTGGATTACTGGCGCGCCCTTTGCCTGACCGCAGACAGGAGAGGAGTTGTCATGAAGCGTGCCATTCTGATAAGAAGATCGAAGCATATTGGCAGTCCGGGGGTAGCATTCACATCTGGGAGCATACGAGGGTGCAGTGTGGGCCATATTACTGATGGACGCGGGAAGACTTCGGAAAACCAGCTCCGAAGGAACCTTGAGGGATGCCTGGTGGGTAGCCAGGTGTAGTTGTAAATGCAGAGTGCTGTATATACATGTATATATCCATCCGAGAACAATAGACAGAGAGAACCGAAGCCATGAGTACCACCATATGAAGCATGTACAACACTAGTATAGTTCCTCTTACCTGATACTAACTTCAGAAAAGAACTATCCCTGCTTGGCCCGAGTTGACCTCCGTTCGACTCTGCGAAAATACCAGAAACACACCCCATACGTTATATCCAAGCAATAGAAAGCTCCCACAAGCCAGTACATGAGAATATTGTCAACCCAGTCCCATTTTGCAGGCCAGTAGGCGGCTCGGACGAACAGCCCTGGCACTGTGACGCCGGAGGCAACAAACCGGGTGATCCTGAATGAGATGAGAGTTAGTTTTGCGAATTCAAGTATGGTCATTACTCGGAATAGTCGAGCCTACCACATCTTATATGACATGCCTCGCGTATGGCCTCGCTGAAGAAGAAGGCCCAGTGCACTGGCGCTGAGCGTTACTTGACAAAGCATCCCGCCCCAGTAGAGAGCTGCCAATGGACCAACATGGGAGGAGAAGGCGAGATGAGCACACAACAGGCCTAGAATGCTGATGAAAACAATAAAAAGTAGATGTCTCCGCATGAATGGAGAATGAGAACCAGACTGTCTCTCGAATTTGACGGTGGCATATAAGACGAAAGCATTGATAGACAGCCATAGGGGAAAGATGACCCTTGCGAAAGGATTCGGTGGTAGATTGATCAGAGCAAAGGCAATCTCCCAGGCCAGGTTGTTGGATAAAGCTATCAGCGAGACGCCAGACATACGGTCTTGGTATGCTTTGCGGATAGTGAAGAAGTAGTTCAGTGTCCATCCAATCCCGGAGATAATGAATGGCGTCTCCACTATCCATCGCACCTTCTGGAATTCGGCCGGGGCGGAGTCGAAATCAAATCCATCCATGTTGATGTCTATGGTTTCTTGAAAGACTTGGCCGTATGGACAAGGTCGATATGGTCAACGGCGGATGTCATCATGGGCTTGATCATATATTTGTGCCTACCAGAAGGTAATCATACCACGACTCAATGCAAGGGATGGCTGTCACCGTGATAGCAACTGAAGCAGTGCAGAATGGATCAGGTGGATAAGACAGTAAGTAATTTGACCAACCCGATAGCTTATCTCATATGTAATGGCCAGCTGAGGTACAGTCCGATTGGAAAACAGACGGACCAGTTGCCGTATCACATCACACCGTATTCACATAATAATCGGCATCTAGACTAAGAACCGCTGCTTTGGGGATGAGTTGGCTGACATGACAAGTTGCACTTTGATTGTAAGGGTGCCACAAGGGGAATATCCAGAACCAGATGAAATACCAAAGGTGGCATGCTTGTGTATCAGTCTGAATGACAGCCATTGCGGCGGAAAACACTGAATAGATAATAGGGCTTCTACTTCCTCACGGCTTCTCTCTTACGACTGAAAAAGCTGAAACCTCCGATATGCCTTTTCCCTCGCGCCGTGCCTTCAGATCATCCGATGATTCCGATCAATCAAGGACATGGACGATCTTATCTCTGGACAGAATGGAAATTTGTCGGAGGGAATAAGACAGAGAGCTCGGGGGACTACTATCTCCGCCGAACCAAATCGAATCCCATTGTGTAAAACTGCTCGAATTGCGAGGAGACTTTCGATAACGGCGTTATACCGGTCATCGTCGTCCTCTCCATTCCAGAGCACCATGAGGGTGCTGTGGCCAATATCCTGTCAGGTATACACGACCGTCTTGATGTCTGATCCCCGAAGCTGTAGGTTACAGTTATGATGAGGATTTCCTGTTTCCTGTTCATCACTGTTCCAGTACATTGTCCTAATGCACTTGATCCGGTATGGTGTGTGGGCCGCTCAATGGTTCATGCTTCATCGTTCCTCGGCATCCTGGCTGACAAGGGTTATACATAGCACAGCCTGAAGGCCACTGCCGCTCAGCCTCCGCTGATTCGTGTGATCCAGTGTCTTAATATGATAAAAAGTAACATTGATATTAGTCAGTGGGTGAAGTCCATCTGCCTAGCCACAGATTCATGTTGCTCTGCTTGAGGAACTCACCATACAGGAAGTACAGCAGTAGTGATACATGTTATTAACCTTAATAAGTAAGCGTAAATTTCATATTCGGTAATGCTGCTCATGTCATTAAGTGTTTTGCTTTATATGTCTTGAATGATACCTGCGGCCTGGACTGATATACTTCGCACTGGTGAGGTCGTTGAAATTCGTGTAACAATCTTCATGGCCGCAAAATCGACACTTCAAACCATGGGCGACGGCTCCGGCAACCGAATATATGAGCAAGAGCAGTTCTAGACGCCGGTCATAGAATCCTCGTCTTTTGCTCCTGGCGCGACGATTCTGCTCTCTAGAAGGATGGTAAAGCGATAGGAGTTCTCAAGGCTGACGAATGAGGGCAGGCATCGAAAAGGTGAGACTGGCTTGCGAAAACAAAAGAACGAATCTCCTCGTTCCATTATGCGCTGTGAAGTTGAGGTGGTGTTTTGCGATTGGGAGCACTCCCCTGGCGCTTATATTGGTATTGCTTCAGCTTTGGGCGCTGATCGGGGATATGCAGGCTCCCGGAGACCCCTCAGTCCAGACTCGCCGACGCTGTTAATCTTCGTAGGTATCCTTCCAGTGTGCGTTTTCCCTTTTTTTGTCAGATTCTGCAGTGATTATACGACTATTAAAAGAAGCGCCACAGCCATATAATATAGCAGTCTCGATAGTGGTCAACATGCTCAAACGCGCCAACCACGCGGACGATAGAGAAGTAAAGAGACAAAAAGGAGGTGGTCCAGCCCAGAATGGCGCAGAGCCACAGAAGAAAAAGTTCACCCATGAGGATTACACAGTCGGATGGGTTTGCCCTCTGGAGATAGAGCTCACTGCTGCGCTGCAAATGCTGGATGAGGAACACGAGTCGCTACCACAACCTCCCACCGACCACAATATCTACCATCTTGGTAGCATCGCCAGCTACAAAGTCGTCATTGCTGGGTTGTGGCAAGCGGGGAACAACCCGGCGACAGCAGTGGTGATTCAGATGCGAATCCGATTCCCGAACCTTCGCTATGCTCTGTTGGTCGGTATAGGGGGCGGTGTGCCAAGGACAACGGACAATGGCATGCTCCGCCTTGGGCATGTGGTAGTCAGCAAGCCTGTCGGGCCATTTTCAGGAGCGATACAGTATAACCATGGAAAGGGGAGAGATGGTGTGTTCGAGCGGACTGGGGCATTGGCTCCACCTCCAACAGTTCTTCTCCTTGCTGCGCAAGCACTTGCCGTTCAGCGTGCCCGATCAGATGAAGACCATATAATGGAGAATGTTCAACGCATAGACACAAGCAAGCCCCAGCTGCGACGGTTCAAGTTCCCTGGTATCGAAAATGAAAAGCTATTTCCGGCGGATTACAAACATCTCTGCCCTGGACTATCTTTCCAAGAGAGCGAATGTGACACAGCACAGTGTATAAAACGCGAGATAGGTGAACTTGATCAACTCATTGTGGTACACCGGGGTACCGTGGCGTCTGGAGAGCTTGTGCTAAGGGACAGCGCACTGAGGGACAAGCTCGCCCAGGAATACGGGGTCCTGTGTTTCGAAATGGAGGCTGCCGGAGCGATGGCCGACTTCCCTTGCCTTGTCATTCGCGGTATCTCACACTACTGCGATTCGCACAATAACGACCAGTGGCAGGGTTTTGCAGCGGCGGCAGCTGCAGCATATGCTAGGCAGCTGTTCTTCCACATGCCGATTGATGAAGTGAAACAGTCAGTTTAGGGCCCTAGTCTAAATGCTTCAAATGCTAACCGAGATCTCATCAAGGCAAACCATCATTCCAAGTACTGATCCTGGGTTCAAGATGTTGGTTCAACGCAGTCATGACCAAGAACGGCAACAGATGGCTAGCTGGCTTTGCTCAACTGATTATGCATCAGATCACAGTGCAAATTTACGTGAGCGACAAGACGGAACTGGACAGTGGATATTTGAAACTGATGAGTTCCGTCAATGGGAGAGGGAGAAAGGGGTCCTTTTCTGCCCTGGCATTCCTGGCGCCGGAAAGACGATACTGACATCCATTGTGGTTGACTATCTTCGAAAAAAGCATGGATCAAACAATGGTGTTGGTCTTGCTTACATCTTCTGTAATTTTCAGCAGCAGCAAAATCAGCAGTTAGACATCATACTGGCAAATATCCTGGGACAGCTAGTGCGAGGGCTGTACCACATCCCGGAGCCAATCCAAGCGTTTTATGAGACATATCAGCGGAATGGAATGCAACCACAGCTTGACGATGTTCTCGAGATGCTGGCTGTGGCTTCAGGGCTATATTCCCATGTTTATATGGTTATTGACGCATTGGACGAGTGCTCAGACTCTGACGAGAAGCGGAACCATCTGATTTCCCATATCCTCGACCTCCAACAACACTTCAACATTAGCTTCATGGCAACTGCCAGGTCCATTCCGGGAATTATCTCGCAGTTCGAAAACTTTCCTTCGGTGGAGATCCGAGCTAGTGACGCAGACGTGAAACGATATGTTGAGAGCAACTTACCCTCTATCGTGAGACGGAGGCCAGATATCCAAAATCTTGTCATTTCGGAAATTATCAAGAAAGTCGATGGAATGTGCGCTCCCCCTTGAGAACACTCTCAGAAGGATAATGACTGATCGACCTAGGTTCTCACTCGCCAGGCTGTATCTGAATTCCCTGAAGGGAAAGTGTAGTATCGCAGCTATAAAAGAGTCTCTCAACAACTTCAAGGCTGGATCGGAGGCATACGAACATGCGTATGAGAAGGCAATGGAGCAAATCCAGCAACAAATAGGAGACCGAGCTGAACTCGCAAAGCGAGCATTGGCTTGGCTCACCTTTGCGGAGCGCACTCTTACCCTGACAGAACTCCAGCATGCTCTCGCTGTTGTCATTGGTAAAAGTTCATTTGACGAAGAAAACCTGCCAGATGTGGAGGTCATGATCTCTTCATGTGCAGGACTGGTCACATATAATAAGGAGAATCATATCATCAGGCTGGCTCACTACACAACCCAAGAATATCTGGAGAAGACATGGACGTCTTGGTTCCCAAACGCCCATTGCGCTCTTGGTGAGGCATGCGTCACTTACCTTTGTTACGATGATTTCGAAGGTGAGGAATGTGAATGTGAGTATAAATACGAAGAAAGGTGTCAGAAATATCCTTTGTATCCATATGCAGCGGAAAGCTGGCTGTATCATGCCAGGAAGCAACCTCTCAACCACTCCCTCATCGGGAAACTGTTGTTGAGTGACCGGAAGTTCGACGCTTGGGTCCAGGCTCGAAAAGAGGAAACGACGCCTCTTCACCTGGCGGTTGAGTTAGGCCTTGAGGGCGAAGCAGAGGCGCTCCTCAATATCGGCAGTCTGGCTATTTCCGTATATTTCAGGCAAGGGTAATGTAGCTGCCCCGCGGAGTGTGTATTCAACATACACTGTTCATTTCGAGTTTCAAACTTACCTATTAGTCTTGAACAGTATAATTAGCTTTTATAACAATCAGTCTCAGGGGACTTTAATACGCTCCTGTACAAGCAATATATATCTTCTTTACTTTCCTTGGGAGAGAAGTTACTGAAGGGGATCTAAATACGAGAACCGAATATAAGGACTGCTGCCTTGCGAAGCGAAGAACCGATCTACTTCGTGATTCAAACCTCCTCAGGCATTAGAGACAAAATCTGTACTCATGCGGGCGCCAAGTTGATGAATGTGCTAATGCTCGCCAAGTAAGAGACCAGGTAAACCCATTCACTCCCTACATCACATCACCATCAGGTCAACAACTGCTCAATCTATGTACACACTTATCACGGCCAGCAACACGCCGTCCAACAGTAAACAGACCATCTCGGGGGATCAAAGACGCCAGTAAGCGGGTGATTGGACGGGATCTGTCCCATAGACTCCCCTTGACATTCAGGGAGCCTTCAGTGAGATAAGTTAATCTACTCGCCTGATTGCTTCAGAAAATGATATTCTGAGAAGCAGCTTACGCGTATGTCCTGCAAAGGAAAGACTTTCCGCCGTTGGACCCGGGGACGAGGTTAATCTGCACGACTCTGAGACTGGTTAGCGAGGGCACGGGATATATGAGGGTTCATAAGCAAGAGACATACTCGACGTCGAATGTCTTGCACACTCCATCTTCGACGGGAATTAGAATCCAGTCACTGCCGACTTCTTCTCGGACTTCCTTTGACCATTGTTTAAGCAAAGGGGGTATACAGCAGGGAGGGTTGGGAGTTCAAACCATCTCGATGGCAGCGGCCTCAGAGAGCAGAAGGCCGAGAGTCGTTAGAAGGGCAGAGAGCTTCATGATGATAAGATAGGAAAGTGGTGTTTCTAGGAATTTGGAAATAGATGAGCGGCAGATGCAGCCCAGGAGGCAGCGGCGGGGCAGCGGCCCTATTTGACACCCTCCGTTCACTCCCGACTTGCTTTTTGCAGGTGGTGGCTGTGCTCTGCACTTAGGAATTGTTTCATTCGTTCGCTACGAACATGGGAGAACGCGGGGTAAGAGGTTTTCGTTCTTCTGAAAGGACCTAATATGACTCGTCTACATCATAAGACTTGCGCCTTCGTCTCTCTTCCGTTCCTGATGGACGGCGACTTTTAATCTTCCAGCTAAATACAAGCACGAGGAAACAAGTCTCCGAGCTTGAACAAGCGCCTCGCTCTCGTCTGTTCTAGAAAGAGCCCTGCTTGGTTTGTCAATCCGTGAGATTTTGAAAAGAAGTCCGCCTCCATGTCCTCAAAGAGCGATTCGGCCGTGGTCGCCTTGGCTCCCTTGAACGTCTCCGAGTTGCAGAAGGCAACGACACCAATCCATCCGAGCCCTCAGATTCCCCGTCTCCAGCAATATCGTCCGATAATTACGAGACGAAGAGTGAGCTCAAAGATGGCGGCGCATCTAGCACTGAGCCCTTTATACTTCTCACTCCTACCACAAGTCCTCCCTGGAGCATGCCAGAGTTGACGAACGACGGCCAGCCAGCAGGGAACACAGCCAAACTTGATCCAGCTGCGTCAAAATCACTGCTTAGTCTCGATAATGGACGATGTGGATGTCCCACAAAACAGAAGAAGCCTTGTAAGGTGAAAATTGCGGAGGAGAAGATCGACCACATGATCAAATCAATGCTTGCTCTCATTCCGTCATCTCCAGAGCTCGAAGGCGAGCTAGAAAATCTGGCCAAGCTCGTGCACTGTTGAGTCCATGACCATGGACAGTTCATAAAATCTCGTGCCGAGGAATGGATAGCCACCTTTCCTACCGGAGATCCCGGCACCAAGCCTTTTCTGTCTCTAGAGAGGCAAATTAGAAAAGCTCTAGACGGGTTGTCTACCTAGTGCATGGGGAAAAACAAAAGCGCAGGAGAATTGTTCCCTTGAAATTGGGGGACAGAAGCCGCAGGACTGTACTAACACCATTAACGAGATTGTCTATTCAGTGGCTTCTCTAGGTGACGACGATGATATTGAGTACCTCCTCAAAGTTTTTGAACAAATAGGCTTTGCCATCGCCATGATAGACAACCCCTCAAACATGTGGAATTATGGAAATCGAGGGTCATGGAGATTCACAGCCTATGCCAGGCCGAGTGTGCGAAGTTGGCTGAAGACACTACACCGTCAGCGGCTCAAAACCAGGTGATCCTACCGGCGAGGAACTCATGTCTATCGCCTCTGAAACTAAATATAAATCCGGCTGAATATTGGCCTGCGGCATACGATGTGAGTCCTTTGAGCATTATAGAGAGGAGCGATAGACTCAACGACTACAAATCGCCATATGACAAGATTAAACGGCAAGCGAGGAGTCCTTTGGACGCGAAGTTGGGTGACTTGAAAGATGGATTTGTATACCTGTATGAGGTCGAAGGAAACAACGGATTCGTCAAAATCGGATATACCAGTCGTACCACGGATGAGCGTCATGAGGAGTGGGCTTTTGCATGCAATCGAACTCCCAAATTACTCTATCCAGATTCACCAAATCGCCAAAAAGTTCCATGTGCCCGCCGCGTCGAGGCTTTGTGTCACGCGGAGCTCATCATCGACGGCTCAGAATCTATTGCACGGGTTGCTTGAAGCAGCACATTGAATGGTTTGAAATTGCCCCTGTTGACGCCATCGCAGGTATCCGGAAATGGTCAAATTGGATGGCATCCAAGCCATATCGAGGGAGAACCCTGAGAGCCGGGCCAACATGGGCCCTGAAAACTGAGGAATTGAAAAGATTTGATGATATCAAAACACTCCAGAAAGATATATCGCCTCCGGTGCCGATACATTAAGAACTGGGTTTGGAGGGAAAGAGAGTATTCTACTTGCCCCAACACACTTCAGGAGCGAAATCGAAGAAGGAATGCTGAATTCGAACTTGGAGTTCAAGGGCATATCGGCGATGTTCAACCATTAGAGAGGACCCAAGCAAAAGGTAGCATTTTCATTTTAAAAAAGGAGTGAAATCAAAGGGATTTAAGACTGTATGGAAGCTGGTTGACCAGCACAGATAAAGGATCAAGACCATCCTTTGCAATCGATTTGTCTTATAGCTGTGACGAGGTCACTGTAGGGTTTGATCTTTGAAATTATTCCCAGGAACCAGACATCATCCAACTTCAGTAGTCCTGAGTATTTCTGGAATAGGACAAGCTGCCACCGTTCGACTGTCGTAACCTGGTGGATCGTTTCAATTCTACTCTCTCTGGCCCAGTGATGCTTTTGGTGTGGGCCAGCGAGAACAGATTCCCCTGGGTTTGCCCGTTTATGAGCTGAAATGGAATGTGCAATTCTGCACAGTCGACCTGAGAGCTTGTCTAGTTCTCGACTTGTATCGAATTCATAGCAACAAGTTGGTGGCGAGTGGCGTTGCGACTCCAAGGATTCCCATGGGCCATGGTTCTATCAGGGCCACTTTGTGGGTCTTGCTGTCAGCGCGTACTATAAAATTTGCTTAATAGGCAGTCTAGACTTAATACGCCAGGGAACCCCTGGTTTAGGTTCGGCATCAAATTGTGCCAGAAATAGGAGACGCCCGATGCAGCCAATGGAAGGGAGGATGATGGTCATCGATGGCTGGACCAGTGTTGCCTAATCCATGTGGCGGACAGGAAAGTTCAAATAATACCTTAGGTTTCTCACTGTTGGCTTCGTTAATGCTCTTGTAACTCTAGGTAGTTTCAAAGTTTGACTACTCGAAGTCGTTTATAATGATGCGATTTTTACGCAGCGGACTCTGCCTGGCCGGTATGTATCCACTGCCAATGCCATGCCCCGCAATCTTGAGCTTGTCCGAGCTTGGCTATTTGGACGTCGGTTACTGATTCTTGGACCCTAAGTCTGTCTTTTCCAGCTCGTTACTGTTTGCCTAGCGGAAGAAGCAAGTGCTGGTGTGAGCACATTTACTCTTCCCCTGGGAAGCAATTCGGAAAATTACACCTTTGCCCTCAATATCCCCGACAATTCCAGCGATGTGTACTTCCACCTGTCCGGGCCGACCTCGTATTCGTGGGTGGCCGTCGGGACTGGACAGGAGATGAAGAACTCTTTCATGATCCTGTTGTATTCGGACGCCAGTGGAAAGAGTAAGCGTTCGAAAGTCGGTCCGAACGACAATTCAGCAAGATTGAGCTAACTTCGACTGAATTCAGATGTCACTGTCAGTCCTCGACTTTGTACAGGTGAAACAGAACCGGTGTATGCCTCCTCTCTCGACATCAAACTCCTCCCGCCTAGAAACCGAAAGGATCAGAATGGGATACTCAAGACCAAGATAGAGGGGATGATCGCACCGATGAAGTAGGAAATACCCATGGTGGCGGCAGAGATCCACGCCTGAGAGACGTTTGGTTTCTCCAGCTTCAGCTCAAAGTCCATCATGAACTGACCCTTCGTAAGCAAGCATCGTGCATGTAGATGGAGGAGACCGTACCCTAATCCAGTTCTCCTCGTCTCGAGCCAGGCAGTCGACGACCATCTGGCTCGCCTCGGCGCTGATGCCATAGCCAGAGAGTATCTCGTGGATCTCTTCCATCTCAGCCTCGGGTTTCGTGCACACTTCCTCCCTCTCCCGCTTCTCCTCGCTCTTGTAATGATCTCGATCGGTTACGGCGGCAAGATAGGCTCCCAGTCCCATGGAGATGGCACCACTGAACAGCTCCGCGAGTCCGCCAACGATGACCAGCTTGGATGATCCCAGACTAGACAGACCGGCTGTCAGGGCGAAAGGGACCGTCAGACCATCCGCGAAACCGATGATCACATCTCGTACGAAGGCGCCAGCTTCGGAATGTTCCTCGGTAGCAGAGTGTATTTGATTCCGCTGCTCAACCGCAGGCTCGACAGGAACGGTGCTGGCAGACATGGTGATAGAGCGGTGACTTTGTCAAAGGCATTTGAATGCTCTCCATCTGGCTTTACTCGTCCTTTTCTATTCCCAGGTCGTGTTACTACTGTCTACAACATGCCGTGGTATATACTTCGGTGCACTCAACTCGGCCAATCAGATCTACCCTATTTCCAAGCATCGAGTATTCAGAGTAAACAAGCCAATCACATGGAACAATTTTCTAATTACACTTACGGGATTGCTCGCTGTAATGAAGCTAAAATAGACTTTGGGGAATCTGGATCTTTCAAAGCTTGGTCGAGGCAGGCAGGTTACAGGTGCCTCTCACGCTGCTCGACCAAGCTGGATATCGGACACAAAATCATGCAAATTTATTTGCAGCAGACGTGGCCTCTTGCACTAGTAAACAGACTAAGAGGATGATGTAAATGTTGGAGACGGTCATTCAACGTCGGGGCGATACATGGACACGCAATGTCGCCCAGCTTTTGGTCAGGTTCACAAAGTGCTCGATTGGCCAACAGTTTATCCCTTAAGTGACGACTGGACCATCACTTTCAGTCCCTTCTCAATCGCATCCTGAGACCTCCAACCAGACCACGTATGGTCAAGCATGCCTGCGTGTATTAGCTTTTTCAACACAGCAACACATTCGGAATCATTCTTACCCCATGTCTCATCAAGGTCCTGGTTGCCTTGCCGAATGTAGTAGCTCCCGGCAATAACCCAAGTGATCCAACCGGCGTGCTGCTCGGGGATCCACGTCCTCAGACAGCTGGCATACACGCCCTCCCAGGTAGTGCTGTCCTGGAGGAACCCAAACTCGGTCAGGACCACCGGCATGGAATTCACAATCGATGGGTCAGACGAATTGAGGGCGTTGAATCCGTCAGTCCAGAGCGAGCTGGACAACGAGCTGCAGCTGCTGGAACTGGTGGCGTAGTTGTGGAGCTCCAGGACCAGCTTGTTAGCGAAGCTAAAGTCAGAGAGGCGGAACTTGACCCCGTTGCCGAGATCCGACGCAGTCGGGATAGGCGAGAGCGTGGTATCGTAGTTCAAACCAGACAGGAAGACCAGCGCGTTCGGATTGGCCGCGTTGACATTCTTCGCTGCCGTTGTCATCTGCGTGTACCACGTCCCCCAGTTGTACGGGTACTGGGAGTTGGCTGTGGCGGGCTGGCGAAGCTCATTGCGCAGTCCGATGCTGACAAAGTTGGGCCATGATTTGGCCTTGCGGGTCAGCATCTTCCGCCTCTGGTTGTGCTGGGTGACCTACATGAGAAACCATATACACCAGTCCTCTCATCCACTTGGTGACGTCGAAATAGGTATCTCCAAACCAGGCGTTACCATCCGTGGTGGAACAACACCACATCGCCTTCGAGATGTGATTATCCAGATGTACATAGATTCCTTGTTTGTTGCACTCCGCGGCTACCATATCATATACTTGCAGACGAGTCGTCGACGACGTGATCTGTGGGTTCACCTTGCGGATCTCATTGAATACCTTGGTCCCGTTCGTTGATCCCAGCGCGTTGATCAGCGATTTCTGAACGGTGACATCTCCGCCATTGTCGAGGATATCATCCACCAGCTCAATAGGAAAGGTCAACCGAATGACATTCATTCCCAGGCTCTTGAGCTTCGAGACTGTCGACGCAATGGAGGCATACTGCATCCCCTCGGGTATCATGACCTCACCCGCACCAGGCCAATTGGCCCCTGCGTAGGTGAAGTTTGCACCCTTAGAGTCATGGATCCATCGGCCTGAGACGGTGAAAGGGGCGTTTAACGCTGAGCAGGCCAGCGATTGTAGCAGGACAAGAGAAGAGACGATGTTCAACTTCATGGCGAGATGCTTTGCTCTCCCAACACACGGTTGATGCCTGGAGACGACATACCTCCTCTCTACTGCCCTTTTATACTCGCATGAATCAGGCACTTGAGTATACCCTGTCGTCTTCCCCGCACTCGGGATATAGCATGACGAAGAGGGTCCACTTTCTGCAGGACTATGGGGAAGCGGGGAAACTACCTGTGTCATTAGCCCGGTTGATCGAACTATGAGCAGGCTGATCTTCCATTTTCCAGTCGAATGGTCATTATATCCTTCCGGCTCCCCCGGGAACTGTAAATACAATATGATATGCATGTGACGTTCTTCACACTTGTGGGCTCCCCTTTCGGGAGAATTGCCGTCTGGGTAATCTCTCAGCTGCTCACTCTTCCACCAACTGATCTACACCACTTATACTTTCTCGTCAAAACCCACGGGTATTGAACCAAAGTGCGGCACGAACCGAAGTAAAGACCTCCTTCTCTGCAAGAAGAGACAGCACTGTCCGGGGGAGGTCAAGCTTACGACAATGGACCGTCAGTACATACTTCGACATTTTCTATTGATTGCAAGAAGGCTGGAGCAACCAGTACATTATCTCAACGAACACTCTATCCTTGGTAGTAAACGAACTCAAACAATACATCTAACACATCTCGGTAAAAACAGGCTGCAGAGTAAAGCCAAACTTCCTTTCCTCGCATTTAACCCGATACTTGTCCAGGGTACGAGGACCACAGGCCCCCGTTCCAACACCGCAGCTCTCCACGTCCAGCCTCAGCCTGACCCGCTTCTCAGGAACAAGTTCAGGCGCATGCTTGGCTGCCTCGATAGCCTCGGGGCTGTACCGCGTAGCGAGCCACTGGAACAGCTCAGTCGGCTGCTTGTCACTCTCCTCCTTGACGCGAGTGACCCGAAGACCCCATCCTCTGCTGTCGTGCACACGTAGCCACCGGGTGTCCATCCGGTTGCCCCCTTCCTGGGGTACTTCGTAGGGGATATGCAGCTCAGCCGTCGTAGCGTTGTAAATGCCCACCTTTTGCGCTCGCTTCTTGTCGGCATAGGCTTCGCCAGGTCCCAGGCCGAACCACGACGTATTGTCCAGCTCGTCCGCGAGAAGTACATCCAGCCCGATCCGGGGTAGGTCCGCTGGGATTGGACCGTGGGGTTTCAGGTGCACGTTGACTGTTAGGGCACCATTGCCAGAGATGGTGTAACTGGTCGAGGTGAAGAATCCCCATCCGAGAATCGGGGCGGAGATATATGTCTCCGTGGTGACTTCAACGCTCGTGGGGGTATGCTGGACGACATGCATCTTGCGCAGCTGAGAGGTGAGAGTGTCGAGGCCAAACCGCCGCCATTCACCGAGGTCGTGGGACATGTCGTTGTCCGTCGGTGGACGCCAGAATCCGGGAGAGATTGCACCGGTTGTTGAGGACTGGCTGAGGAGGGAGAGGCCGTCGGCTGTCCAGGCGTACAGACTACCAGTTTCTCTTGAGAATTCCAGGCTGAACGTGGAGCCCGTGATCTTGTGCGTCGTCTTCGTGGATGAGAGCGTCAAAGGCTGAGCCGGTACAGGCAATGAAGGACGTGGAGATGAGGACTTGAGGCACTGCTGGTACCAAGCGACTTCGTAGTTGCTTGCGGTCCATGCCGTCTCTGTTTTTTCACGGAAGCTGACGGTGAGCCAGATCTCCCCGGGATTTGCTATAGCAGGCGCTGATGGCATCTTAATAGTTCCTTTCTGGCCAGCAGGGATGGACGGAAGTTCTATATTGCCTGTGGAAACAATGCGTCCGCTATCAACGTGTCAGCACAACGTTTGGCGATGGATAGAGAGAGACATACCTGTCTCCGAAGACCTCAATCTTATAGACTGCCTGGAGGCCTTCCAATCCAACAAAATTGTAGTCATTCGCTACGACCAGAGTCCCGTCCTCACCAGGCCACACACGAACCGGCGCATAGGCCTTCTTCATTTCAGTAATACCAGGCGTCGGGGTGTGGTCACTGAATAGCAGTCCATCCAGCACAAAGTTGCCATCGTGGGGCGTATCGCCAAAGTCACCACCATAGCCATACCATCCCCTTTCCTCATCCCAGAGTCCGTGGTTCGCCCACTCCCAGATCCATCCTCCTTGCAGGCGGCGGTGGGTCCGAAAGGCTTCCATATACTCTTCCAAGCCACCAGGCGCGTTACCCATCGCGTGGGCATACTCGCAAAGGACAATTGGCTTTTTGAACGCATCTCCCTCTGCGGTAGCGAGACGTGCCAGTCGATCGACGGATGGATACATGTACGAGTACATGTCGACCGTCTTGGCCTCCATGTCACCCTCGTAGTGCACCGGGCGACTGGGGTCAACCTGCTTGACATAGTGGTACATGGCTTGGTGGTTGGAGCCATAGAACGCCTCATTGCCAAGCGACCAGATGATAACGCAGGAGTGGTTCTTGTCGCGCTGCACCATTTGCACCATTCGGTCTACATATGCATCTTTCCACTCAGGATTGTTCGTGGTGAACTGCGCCGCCTGGTCAAAGGTGAGCTTCTTGCGCTCCTCGTAGTCCATTGACTCGGGGATATCCAAGGGTCGAGCGACGGCATCGTACAAGCCGTGGCATTCCAGGTCAGCCTCGTCCATCACCCATAGGCCGAGCTCGTCGCAGAGTTCGTACAGACGGGGATGGGACGGGTAGTGCGAGCAACGGAGAGCGTTGACGTTATGCCGCTTCATGATCAAGAGGTCCTCGCGCAGAAACGACAGAGGCACTGCTCGGCCGAAGCGTGGATGATGGTCGTGCCGGTTGACGCCGCGGAACATCACCGGCACGCCGTTCACGGTGATGTTGCCGTTCTTGATCTCAACCTGGCGGAACCCAACACGGTGGTTGATTGTCTGAACGGGTCCCTTGGCACCGTCTACATAAAGAGAAATGCACAGATCGTAGAGGTTCGGCGTCTCTGCTGTCCATTTCCTCGGGTTGGAGACGGAAAGCTCAGCCTCGAGTTTGCCCTGCTGTGCCTGAAGAGAATACTTCTCCGACTGAAGCGTAGTGCCCGTGGAAGGATCGCTCAAAGTCAGTTGCACGACGGCTGCCGTTCTGAGAGCTAGATCCAAAGACAAGCGCAATGTTGCATCAACGTAATCCTTGTCTAGTTCGGTGCGCACGAAGAAATCTTCAATGCGCGCCTGGCCAGGGAATGCGAGCAAAGTAACGTCGCGAAAGATGCCCGACAACCACCATTGGTCCTGGTCCTCGATATACGAGCCATCAGACCACTGATAGACTCTGACAAACAGTTCATTGGCGCCGTCGGGGTCGACAATTTGCGACACATCGAATTCGGCCGGGTTGCGGCTCCCTTGTGCGTACCCAATCTGGACACCATTGACCCAAACGTGATATGCGCTATCAACGCCGTCAAACCTCAACCGCAATTGGGCAGAAGCATCCCAGTCGGCAGGCACATGAAAGGTCCGATGATAGGTGCCCGTAGGATTGTCCGTCGGCACAAATGGCGGGCAGACGGGGAAGGGGTAAATGACGTTGGTGTAGTGCGGACGGCCATAACCTTGCAATTGCCAATGACCAGGGACGGTGATGGGAGCCCAAGTTGTCTCCGAGTCTGCGCCGTCAGAGCTGGATTGGTTTAAATCCCGGCGGGGTTCGGACGCGGCGTTCTTGGTGCCCTTGGACCATGATGGCTCGGGGGCGCTCACGGGAGAGGCTGCATAGTTAAAGTCCCAGCGACCGTTGAGCGAGATAGACGTCTCGGGAAGGAAATATGCTCTTGGTTTGAGCCTATTGCGCTGAAATATATGCTGGTTTTCGTAGTCGGGGACTGCGGACAGGGTCATGGTGACGGACAGGGAAACCGAGGATAGAGTAGGACTGTGGAAAGGGAATCCTGCTCAATCGGGTCTAAACAAAGCCACGGAACAGGATCTAAGAAGAAAGATGAATTGCTTGAACGAAAACAAGAAGTAGGCCATCTTCCCCTCCTAAATAGGCGGATTCGTGGAATAACAGGTGGGCTGGATGGAAAGCCGTGCTTGAGGGCATTCACTGCATCCAAACCGCAATGAATGCCCCTCTTCCGACCACCTTCCGTCGATAATTGATCCATATTCCTGATGCAGACATATGTTTCGCTGCTAGGGAGCGGGGAAATCCACGCCATCTTTCGACCGTTGGTGGTTGTCCTGCTTGGCGCACTCCGCCGGGGAAGTCGGATGGAAGAAGGACAAATCCCCGTATTCACGGATCAGGGGATGGGTTAACCTTACATTAGAGTGCACCCAAAGTGCGAATAGCGCCATGGTCCATCGTTCACATGAATAATATCAGAGAGTCCTGCGAAATCCTTCCGATTGCCCCAGTATGCTACCTGCACCAGTGTCCACTGATTCTACAGTATATATCCAAGCGAAGCCATCCCATGATTCGTATGGGGATGTCGGAACCGAGGACCCGCAAATGATCGTCTCGAAAAAACTGCCTCGAGTCTAGGCGGTCCATTTCCCCGTATTTCCCCAGATTTCCTGCTGGTCATGGGCTGATGCACGTCCGTCCAGGATATAACCACCGTGGTCGCTGCACCAGATGCCTTGATATTCGCGTAACAGCGAGGCTCCCGTTCATCCCTCACTGTCTTTGAAATTCCTTCCCTCAAGGTGCCTTTCTCTCAATATGGCAGCCGACGAAAAGGCCGACGCTCAGTTCCATGAGACGGTCCCCACGCGCGATGGAGACGTGGGCGATGCCATTGAACTGGCCCAGCAAGCCGCTTCGGCCAAGTACAGCCCATGGACCCCGAGTATGTTCCGGCTGTATGGCTGTTTGACCGTCGCGTATCTCTGTGGCTGTCTGAATGGCTACGATGGATCGCTCATGGGCAGTTTGAACGCGATGCACAGCTATCTGGACTACTTTCATATGTAAGTTGGACCGTGCAAAGCGAAATGAAATACCGAGCTAACGTCTCCAGGAAATCCGCGGGTTCGAGTACAGGTCTCGTCTTCGCCCTCTACAACATCGGTTCCATCCCGGCGGTGGTCCTTTCGGGTCCCGTCAATGACTATCTGGGCCGCCGCGCGGGCATGTTCACCGGCGCCGTTATCATCATCATCGGCACATGCATCCAAGCCCCTTCGGTCAACCATGGTATGTTTATGGCCGGTCGATTCATCCTCGGGTTCGGCGTCAGTTTCTGCTGTGTCAGTGCGCCGTGCTACGTTAGCGAAATGGCGCATCCGGCCTGGAGAGGCACTCTGACCGGTCTATACAACTGTACCTGGTATATCGGCTCGATTGTCGCGAGTTGGGTGTCATACGGCTGTGCCAACATCGAGAGCCATATTGGGTTCCGTATCCCCATCTGGTGCCAGCTTATCTCGTCAGTGATTGTCGCCGTCGGAGTCTGGTTTCTACCGGAATCACCACGCTGGCTCATGGCGCAGGATCGCGTCGAGGATGCCGTTAACGTGCTGGCCACCTACCACGGAGAAGGCGACCGTAATCATCCCATGGTGACACTTCAGATCAAGGAGATGGGGCATCAGATTATGACCGACGGCTCGGACAAGAAATGGTGGGAGTACCGGGAGCTGTTCAACACGCACTCTGCCCGTCGACGGCTGATCTGTGTCGTTGGTATGGCGTGCTTTGGACAGCTGTCCGGTAACTCGGTGACCTCGTACTATCTGCCCAACATGGTGGCCAACGCCGGAATCAACGATGAAAAGACCAAGCTGATGCTCAACGGCATCTACCCAGCCATTTGCCTGGTGGCAGCGGTCACTGGGGCCCGGTTGACCGACAAGATTGGCCGTCGTCCCTTGATGATTTACTCGCTGCTGTTCTGCTCGGTGGCCTTTGCCATCATCACGGGAACCTCGAAGATGGCGTCAGACAATCCGGATAACAGCAATGCGGCCAACACGGCGATCGCATTCATCTACCTGTTCGGTATCGTCTTCTCGTTTGGCTGGACCCCGTTGCAGAGCATGTACATTGCCGAGACTCTCACGACAACCACCCGGGCCAAGGGTACGGCCTTTGGAAATCTCATGTCCAGCATCAGCAGCACCATCATCCAATATGCGTCCGGCCCGGCGTTTGACAAGATCCACTACTACTTCTACCTGGTGTTTGTGGGCTGGGATCTGATCGAGGCGGTAGTCATCTGGTTCTACTTCCCTGAAACGAAGGAACGGACTCTCGAGGAACTGGCCGAGGTGTTTGAGGCGCCCAATCCGGTCAAGAAGAGTCTGCAGAAGAGAGATATCAACTCTGTCTTGAACACTCTGGAGGTTCAGGGGGACACTAAAGCGTAGTTCTATTCTGGATTTTTACTAGTTAATGATGTTCAAATAGCTGGATATATCTAAGGCAATGGATCCATAGGATTTTTACAAACTACAACCGACCTCTATATAATTCAGTTTCTCATTTCCCGTCGGCAATGCCCTGATCTGGCCTTTTCTGGGGAACCCTTTCCGGCCCGTGATTGGCCAAGACAGAATGCGAGAAATGCGGGGAAGAGATCTTCGTCTTCATTTCGGGACAATCGCGATGATTCCTCCTGCACTCTGTCTCACTGATTGATTCGGCTTGATGAGTTGGTCCTTTCCACTTAAATAGTGTATCATGTCGCTAGAGGAGACCCCCGACTATCGTAAGCGCAAGAGAACTTCCCACGCGGTTTGCCTCCTCTCCTCTAATTGGGTTGACCCCTGCTGATCGGCAGACAGTGTGACCCCTGTCGGTACAGAAAAGTGAGGTATGGCCCCCTGCATTTAATTGTAGGAGTACAGCTGAGTAGAGCAGATGCGATGGTCGTCAGCCATGCACAACATGCGCCAACATAGGCGAGGAGTGTGTCTACGGCACCGAGGCAGTCCCGTCAGTATTCCCATGCATCGATTCGCATTGACTGACCCACTACAGCAAGAACAAAAGCGATTTGATTCTCGAGGTGGCCATTCGCTCCGAGCGACTACTTCAGGATATGTCGGCTCAATTGGTAGAGCCCCCTGATATGACTGCACACCTTCGACTGACCCGACTAGGCCAGGGTCTCAGGGATGTTGGACGGTAAAGCCTTGTCGCAGTATCATACATCTCCAACGGCCATAATCTCTCCTTCGACAATCAATGCGGGCCATCGTCCCGATAGCCCAGGCGATCACATCTCCAATGCCACCCTGTCCGCCTTTCATGCCTCCACCACCGAGTCCATCCTCGCATGGCCGCACTTCAACGACTTTCAGTCCCTGCGGGAAGATCACAGTTTCTCTGTTTTTCATCTCGAGTCCAGTCGCGCGCCATTCGCCCCCCGCGCAGCAACAGTGCACCCGTACGCCAGCCGCAGCGAAATCGACCGCGTGGTGCATAGTTTCCAGCGCAACGTCAACTTTTGGTATCCCACCATGTCGGTAGCCCAGGCAGCCGAGGTTCAGGTACACATGGCCGCGGGTGTGTTCGGCGACAGCGTCAAATCCTGCCTGGCTCTGTTGGTCATGGCATTGGGCTGCGCCAGTGAACTAATCTGCTCGTATGCGGCAAATAAGGAACCTGACTCGGAAGAGCTGGAGCTCCGCAGTCATCGGCGAGCAATGGGCGAGATCTATTTCGATTGTGCGTTCAAGAAGATCTATCTGGCGCAGGCCGAGTGCTCCGTCGACGCAGTGCAATCTTTATTCTTTACAGCGTATATCCCTCCCACCCAGAAGTTGATACCTTCTAACCATTCCAGCATCTTCTTTGCATTCCTCCAACGTCCTCTACAAGCGTGGTCGTTCATCCACGCCACTGCCGCCAAATGCCGTCTCCTCTTAGCATACCATAACCCCGACGCCAACCCAGCAGAGCAAGAGTGTCTCCGTCGGATCTTCTGGTCCTGCTACATCCTAGAAAGGTATGCACCTCCCTTGCTGTCAGCTCAAACTGACCGAAAAGTGACTACCTCGCCGAACTCTCCGCGCTCCCCCAAACCGGCATCGCCGACATCGAGTCCTCCATCCCCCTCCCAGGCGAGTACCAAACGCACCTCTCGCAAACCGACGAAGAACAATCCTCCCTCTACTTCCTCGCCTGCATCTCCATGCGCCGGCTCCTCAACCGCGTCCACAACCTCCTCTACGCCCGCGACACCGGCGTCGCCTTTGACAACCACCAGTTCCCCTCCGTCGTCGCCGAACTCGCCCACCAGCTCGAGGAATGGAAGGACCTCCTCCCGCCCCCGTTTCAATTCACCGTCGACCTCCGTCCGCTTGCCTGCACCGCCGGCGCATTCCTCCGCCAGCGCTACCTCACCTGCAAGAGCGTCATCTACCGCCCGTACCTCACCTGGGCGCTCTCCATGACCGCCACCACCACGGTGGAGCATTTCCCGCCCCAGCTCTTCGAAGGGTGCAAGACCTGTCTCGAGGCGTGCTGGCTGCATGCGCAGAACTTGGGGAGTTATCCGCATACGGTGCTGGTGGATACGTGGATCTGTTCGCTATCGTATGTATGTTCCCTTGGACTTGGATTATACTGATGATGGCGTAGGATGGCGAGTGTCATGCTTATTACGCTGGCGGCGTCGCGGTTGACGGCGCTACGGGGGTGCTTGTCGCCTGAAGTGGCGGAGATGGGGCCCCATCTGGCGAAGCTGCTGACGCAGTGGATGCATATTCCTGGGCATGGGGTGTCGCCGAGTGTGTTGCAGAGTGTGAAGCTTATTGGGGATGCGGGGGTGTTGTTGAGGATGAGATTGGGGTGACTGCAGGTGGAATGTTTATACTAGCCGATATATGATACATGCACACTACAATAGACATGAATCGGAACGCATTACTGCTTCTCCTCCACGGGATGCTTATCCAAACTCTCATACCACTGGATCACAGACCCCAAAAGGAACGCCCAGGACCCCCAAAACGTCGCCAGCGTGCTCTGATACTCGACCCCCGAGTTGGCCGTTGCTGGCCCCAGCACACCACACAGAGTGAATCCAATCCCTCCGATGAAATTCCAGAACCCGACATGCCAGCCGAGGATATGTATAGCGGGGATATACCACTTCGACTGCGTCTCCAGGGCGAAAAACAGCCCGCTGAGTATAAAGCACGAACCGCCGACGATCTGCGGGACCCAGAAGACGCCGTTGGTGACTGCTTGGCTCATGTGGTTCATGATTCCAGGAAGGCCGGTGAACCCGGCTATCCAGAAGATGGTAGCTCCGATGAGCTGCACGAACGAAGCCCAGAATCCGATCTCGTGGAGATAATGGGTGCGGAGTTCGGTTAGGGTGGGAAGCCATTCAAACGATCGCTTTCCATCAGTCGATGTGCGTCTGTGCGAGGCCTGTCTGGCCTCGGATGGAGTCAGGAACGAGCGGCGGTTAGCATGATGATGCAGACACGAGTCCATGTCGGACTTGATTCGCACGACGGCCTGTTCGGCTTCATCGGCGGCTTCCTTGGAGGCTGTCTCGACAGCCCAGCCAAAGCAGCCCGTCTGGTTCTCGTTGACTGCTTCCAGAGCCAGCAGAATACTGCCGACTTCGAAGACAGTCGCGCCGATAAAGGCCGTGACGCCTCCGCCGGTAAGGACTTCATTCGCAAATTCGCCGGACGGGTCTTCCAACGGCATCCAGACGAAAAAGGCGTTAATGACCCAGATCACCGATCCGATCGTAAAGACAAAAGCCACCCAGAAGGAAATGTCCCAGTAGGGAAAGGTTGTGAACATGCGAAGAATCCCTTTGAGGATGGCAAGTGGGTGGATTGTTTTGCGGGGGTAATTCTTGCCTTCGACTCCTGGCGGTCGCTGGTGGATGGTGAGTGCATGTCGTCCTTTACGGTTATCACGGGAGCGCCAGAGTCTTTCGATGTGAGGCCGTGGGATGGTTTCTTGGTCAAGATGTTGATGCGTGGACAGTGGAAAATGCGCCCGTGTTGGATTGCAAAAGGCCAGAGGTCCAGAGATGTGGGGTGATCCAAGTGGCACTTGTTGGTCTTGCAGGGGCATTCGACCCGCATGAAAGGCCTGCGACCGGGGCATTTTTGTTTGATCAAGGGCTAGAAGATTATTAAAGATGAGCAGACATTTTGTTTGGTTTTCCCTGTTGCGAGTGAATGAGATTGGATGATGTGGTCGATGGATGACTGGGATGTGATATATGACAAGATCAAGTTGTGGGCCAAATGCAGCTGCCTTTATATATCGGATCATCCATGATCTCATTGGGCTTGGACAAGTTTCTAACAACCTTACCTCCTGTCAATTAGGTCTAGCATATGATGGCGCTGTCAGAATCTTGGAAATGCGGGCGCTGATCCTGGCAGCAGTCAAGCTTTTTTCTGGACGACCCACCGGATAATATCGCCTAATGAGATTGATAAAGCATGCTGTCGACAGACCAGAATACAAAGGATGAAGACAATTTTACATTCATGTTACATTCGCTTATCTCTATTGACTTTGCCTATGTCTCAATTTGGATGATTCAGGGGAAGACCAAAGTATATATCCACAGAATGAGTGGAAGACGAAGTATATATAACACCTTATGCGCTTCGATCAACAACAATGAGATACACCCAATCGAGCCATCCTCTGCGGTGATCGTGGGTCATGATCGGACAATTGTCTCACTTTTTGCCAGCGGAAAGATGTTGTTGTATGCCGACGCCAATGGCGCGGAATTGCCTCCATTGCAGCAACTGCCTGCACAAACAGACACCATTTATGTATGGCCAGTCTGACCAAATTATTTACGACTGTTGCAGCCCTGCGAGAGATTGACGCTGGTAGACTCTCCTTGAACAGAACAGTGGCGTCCTACATGCCATCGTTTGCAGCAAATGGGAAAGACAATATCACCGTCCTGATGCTTCTGACGCATACTTCTGGCTTTGCTCCAGATCCAGAGCCTCCATTGTATTCTCCGGTGTATACGACGGTTGAACAGAGGACTGTTGCAATACTGAATCAGAGTCTGAGCAATGCTCCCGGTTCCACGTATCTCTACTCAGATCTCAACTTCATGTCTCTCGGTCTACTTCTGAACACATCACCCACAAAAAACTGGATGAATTGATCCGAGACTTTACCAATCCTCTCGGCATGCATGACGCCTTCTTTAACCGGGGGAACATCGAAGGGCCAGCATTTCCCTTCTACCCCCGCATGGCAGCCGAGGAATACCAGATCGACGTACTGGGGCCAATGGAGCCACAGCGCCCAAAACCGGTCCGTGGGACCGTCCACGACGAGAATGCCTGGGCTCTGAATGGCGTGTCAGGACACGCAGGCTTGTTCTCGACGGTCGAGGATACGGCCATCGTATATTGTCGCCAGAGATCGTAGATCTCATCTTTCATAATTTCAACGCGAGATTCCCCGGCGACGAGCACGGATTAGGATTCGAGCTGAATCAGTACTACACTGCGGGACCAATGGCCAGTCTTCAGACGGCCAGTCATACCGGCTTTACGGGGACCACTCTGGTGATTGACAGGCCGTCAAACACGTTCTTCCTTCTTTTCGCCAATCGCGTCCACCCCAGTCGAAACTGGTCCTCGAATAATATCGTCCGGGAAGCTCTGGGCTACTGGGTGGCCAAGTCCTTGGGAAGAGATGTCTCCTTTCCGCCCCTTTGAATCGACCTGAAAGGGTGTATTTGAGCACAAAGCATTCTCAGAATAACAAGGACCGCATCAAAGAAATGCATTTCGCATCAGATCATAACATACACATAGACTACCATGTGTAGATTCCCACCTTTGTAGCCAAGCGCGGGTCTTGTTGCGTACAAAAGAAACAATCTGCGCGCGCAGGATTGCTTGACACTGACTGCCGTCTTCGAGTTGGCACCCTGGAAGCGATTCCGGCGGATTTTGGGCGGAAATCCAGCGGAAAAACGGATAAGCACAGCCCAGCTTTAGCCAAGAAAGTTTACCTCGTCCAAGGCATGCGATTAGATGGTATACATGCAGGCCAAGACCATCCAGAGCAATCCAGCTGAATATCGCCATTCGCGTGAATGAACCCCGCATTTCAGCACCTGCCGTCCCCAGAATCAAACCCCAGATCTTCATGCTTGGCCACTTGGCACGGAGCCAGTGGGGAAGGTCTTGGATGCGGGGGATGAGGCAATGAGGTTCTAGCGTGGAGAAGAGTCCGGATATAGGCCATAGCCTGGTAGATATGACCTAGTTGAAGCGGATATATAGTCTTCGTTGACCCCTGACCGGTTGATCATCTCGTTATATGCCAGGATCTAGAGGGCCTCGAGAACCCTACTGAAGTAGAAATGGCGGTCGTTGACATTGCAGACGAGAAACACTACAAGGACCATGTGGAGACTGTCACAAACATTGTCACCATCGACAACATCCGGGTCCTTGGGTTGAACGCCGACAATGCCGAGTTCTATACGAACTTCCCTGTCGAGAGGAGAAAGAAGCTTCTGCGCAAGGTATGTTCTTTGACCATCATCGCTGCTCATTGCTCATCAATTGACGTGCAGGTTGATATCCGACTAGTTCCGATGCTGGCGGTCCTCTACCTCATATCCCATCTTGACCGCGCAAATATTGGAAATGCGAAGATTGAAGGACTTGTCAAAGACCTTGGGCTCAGCGGTATACAATGGAATATTGTTCTGAGCACCTTCTTCGTTCCGTATGTGCTTCTTGGTAAGTATCGTGGGTCGATATCGTGGTACAGAGTTAAACTCCGACAGAGGTCCCCAGAAATATGCTCCTGAAGAACTTCTCCAGACCGTCCGTTTATCTCGGTATCCTCATCACATGCTGGGGAACCATCATGACCTTGACTGGACTAGTCCATAACTTTGCTGGCTTGATGGTCACTCGTGTTTTCCTTGGTGTATTCGAGTATGCATCTGGCCCGGGTATACAGTTTCTGACCTTCTCAGGGCTGGGTTCTTTCCAGGTGCAGTCTATCTATGCACCTTCTGGTACATGTCAAACGATCTTTCCACCCGTATCGCTGTTTTCTACTGTGCTAGTGCGCTGTCTAGTGCTTTCTCCGGCCTTCTAGCAGCCGGTATTGCGCAGATGGACGGTGTGGGAGACCAGGAAGGCTGGCGGTGGATCTTTCTGCTCGAGAGAATTGTTACTGTCTTCCTGGGCGTGATGTGTTTCTATGGAAACAGGAAGAAGGCCAGGGTATCTGAGGCGGAGATCAGAGAGCGATATACCGACGATCAGTTGCTGGCTATGGGTAACAAGTCGCCTCTTTCCATGTATACTATGTAACAGTGAGGGACTTGGACCCGCAAATCGACAGGATCGGTGCGCATCAACAGCCTAGCACAAAGCCGCCAAACCAGGGCACTTGGCGGTAATCAAGCTGCTTCTGCTGAGCCAAGAATAGACATCAACATTGATGGTCTGGGAGATGATAACCCGTCAGGCTGGTAGAATGCCAATTCAGATCGGCAACTGGAAACCAGTGTGAACCGTCTCAAGCAGATATCGACTGTTAAGACCGTTCAATTTGAACCACCGACTACAGCAAGATGGCCAGTTCTATGTTTTAATAGCTTTATTAATTCCTCAACAATCACGGACAATAGCAACAACTATGCCTTCATATAACGGCATTGTCCCCTTCCGCAGCAGCTCCGAGTCTTTGCTGGAGTATTTATCTACCTGGGTCTACACAAGACCCGAATGTAGAGGGATCTTGGCGTGTTGATTGCCGACAAGGTCCACTTCATCAATTCCCAATTCATGAGACTTGTACGGTTCCAACAGCTAAATCGGGTACTCCATATCTCAACATGTTTTATCGAATACCCTCAGCCACTGGATGCATTAGATATCAAGCTATGTGATGAAGCTGACGATGCTTTATATTATATGGAGCATCTTGGGGATGTCTGATGGCATAGGCTTGATCCATTGCTTAAATAGTATCTGCTTCGGCGAAGTACTCTCGGCCATCGTCAAACATCTCAATCGATGAGCTCACAGATACTTGGGAGATCTCAGCACATATACAAAATGCGTAATAAGCCAATCGATCGACTATAAGTCTTAGCTGACTATGGTCGTATCTGGACCTCTACCCCTTCGAGCTGTACGTCGAAAGGCCATATTGATATTATGAAACACAAAGTTCTGACGCAGACCGGCTGTATGGCTTTGGCACTTCTCAACACATCCTGCCACAGCCGAAAATTTGTAAGGTGGAAACAGCTGTCAGATTTTCGTGCGGACATTCGCATAATGGATGGAAGCACATGACGCCAAATACTGAGAACCGTGAGAACGATTGCTACTGTACGATTACGACCAGACTTGTCTCCCACGCCATGTCAATTTGCGCTTCTTTGAGCGTTAACAGTGCAGCTGTTACAAACAATTTCGGACCCGGGGCTCAAATGGCAATCAAAGCAGTGTACCCCGGAATTATAGAGACGACTTGGCCTGTAGGAACGCATATATACCCATTACTATGGATTTACGATGTCGTACTGAAATTAATCAATGACGTAAACTGCAGGCCAATGAAAGAAACAGGATGGGGCAACGAATTCGGATATTGCATGTCATTGTATGGCTGACGTTTGTGGCTAACTTCCTTGTCTGCAGTAACATATCTGTGGCTGAGGTACTGTGGACTTTGTAAGAGGCAAGATCTTTTGCAACGAGCATAGTACGCGAGCATAGTACGCGACCCTATGGTAATCTTCATAGTGTACAGCAACACCTGGCAGCTATCAACGTTTCTTATTGGCTTACACTCTTTGACCTTGCACAAAAGTCGATTTCCAGGATCTTTAAACTCACAAATGTGACACAACGCTATTACTATTTGGATATTCCTGCAGCTCGTTACCCAGTTTCCCAGCGCAGCTGCTTCAAATGACCTACTCAGGTTGCATCATCTGATAAACGAGCCCTATACAATGTTGATGGCCATCCAGAACTTGTACTGACCTATGGTATTCGCGAAGATGAGGCATGTGAATATTCCGTACAGACATCAATGAGAAAAGCACATGTCGAGAGAGACTAAACACTAGTATTAATGCAGACAGGCAATATATTAATTATATTCCAACATGAATATGATAGAATCATCACGACGATAGTGGCTTCAGTTTGTACCACATGTAGATCATCGATGTGACATCTCACTGCTATTACACGCCACATTAAACTTACTTCCAGGATATTTTCTGAAGGGATGTCATATTGCACGTATGACTACATCTGGTGAAAAGCCTGCTTGATTAATGTTACTGTTGGAATGCCTTTTACAAAAAGACCATCCGAACCATTGGCGTAATGGCATCGTCAGCGCATCCCTCGGGGTCTTTGGACAAGTTTCAATTCGAGTTAATTCGAGTGTTTTATAAATCCATTCATTTTCATTTCATATGGGGACGAGCTGGCTTAAAAGACCTTCCTATCCTCGACCGTTTGCTGAGGATTTCCGGTGTGTGGGATGATATCTGGGCATGGTGACCTCTTAAGCCTTCTACCCACATGTTGTTTTCTCTAGTGGTCATTTCTCGACTCTTAAGGTGCTCTCCTTAAAATATTCGGTCTTATATTCAACATGCCATTTGCTACCTTTTTCGTGACGCTACTCATCATATCTATATCTGCCCTCACCGGGCAACCATTTCTTTGCCTCCTAGTCTGCTTAACAATCTTAACTGCCTTTGCACTGTTGGCTGCCTTAGAATCCAGTCAACCGGATGACTACCTCAGCGATTCAATGTTAGGAAGGAGACGTCTCCGCCACGAAATTTAGTCGGCCGGTTGGGGCGCCAGAATAATCGGTATAGCTCGCAAGACAAGGTCTGACAACACCCTTGATTCTATCTAGACTGAATCCTCGAGGGTTCACCTACATATGAAGACTAACGTCTACCAGGTCTCTTGACGGTGGCGGTTGTTCTCCTCTTATAGCGACATATTCGCAGACGGCACGCGCTACATACTTCTCGCCAGGACTCAATGGTTTCGTTGGTTGGCAGCGACTGTGTACCTGTGGACTAATGTCGTGTTATTTGTAATTAGAATCATCCATTCCCAAACTATGTACAATATCACCTAGATAATATCTCTGATAACCAAGACGATTCCCTTTCACGACTCGGCTGCCTGCAAGCGCTCGGACCACACTGGATGTAGCTCCTTAATCAAGGCCATGTGCCTTACCAGTTGCATGACCATCATAGGTGGCAGGAGCAGAGCCCAAGCAGTTCCTACATTTGCCGGCGTCTGCAACTATCTTCTGAAAGACTATAGCGGTTGAACCTCTCTATACACAAAGTCTCGTTGAGAATTAGGCTGACCAGAAATGAGCAAGTCGACATGGTACTGGAAAAGTTGGAAAATAAGCACGTAGTCATGCCTTAGCAGTCCAAGAGTAGGAATTGGATACCCCCGAGCCATTGATAGCGAATGGACATCTGGAAGTAAATTTCATAGCATTTTGCACTCCAATATTGGCATTTTTTGGTTCCGGCGTGAGATTAGAAAACGATAGTACTCGGGGGACTCGTCCTAGGTCTCAGCAGCAATCTTAAATTCCTTGTTCTGTAATATAACGCCAATTATATCAGTGCGAATTTCATTAATTGCCGAATCCTATGCAGCGCATTTTCGGAAAGATCCTGCGGTGGGGAGATGCTCTCTAGGACTTTTCGATGCATTGGATGCTCTGTCTTCGGAGTAAGTAAGTACAGACTTCGAACCAGAGAGCGCATAGAAACCAGAAAAAGGGCAATCTATCCCCGTGTGGAATGTGGACTACGCAGTCGGAATTGTTGACGCCCCAATCATGGAAGTGTTGGAGCACCTCTTTTGGCGCATTATATTACTATCATCCTGACACGCACCACACCCATTTGGCTAGCGATGTATAATATAAGTCCCAGATCTTACATTATAAGTACCTTAACAGTAACAACTGTCTTCAGTCACGTCAACGGGAAGAGCCAATGAGGAGCTGGGCCCTCGCAAAAACGTTGTCCATGAAGATCCGCTGCTGGTGGTGTGAGGCATTTTTTGGGCATGTGGACGACATATTACAAGCAAGTCGCTGGGCAACAGACCGTATGGTTCCTTCAACAGCTCAATCTCCTGGCCAGAGGCAGACCACCTATGTATTCCGCCTCCGGTAATGTAAGTGTTAGCTCTCTGACCAGTTCATCCATAACACCCCATATTCCCCTCAGGTGGTCTAACGAGATATCCCAAACCTTATGGATTGGATTAATCTGGTAAATGATGTTCTAGCCTTCCCCAAGGAGACTTTGGAGGGTGAGGCATGGAATCATTTGTCAATGGATGCACTGTCGCACCATCAAGTTGGCTAACATTCCCAGTTTGAATCCAGAAATGACGGCCTATGGAATCTTCGTGATACGCTATGTAGAAAGTTAAATAAAGTGGTGATGATCACAGCTTCACTAGATCAAGTTTTCATGCATTACACCAGCGAATAAAGCCAAGGTAAATAATGAGGAAATTAATAATATTAGGCCTGCTGCATACTTTTGGTCAGGTTTCAGATAGGTATAGGCTTGATGGCCTTGTATCCCTTCTAAGAAGCAGGCGAAACTGACTCCATTCACAATTTAAAGGGTACCGTACACTTGAGAGTGAGGAAGCACAGAGGAAGTCTAGTACAGTAAACCCCCTCTATAAGCAACTCCGATATAAGAATAACCTTGGATATAGTATTTAGCTACTATATTAGAATTAAATTCTCATAATAAAATGCTTAATACTCTAATATATGGATATTACTTCTGAAAATCATTTCTCCTAATTCTTTGGAGTTCCTGGAAAGGTAATTCTAAATAGCTAGGATGCTACTCTCTATACTTCGCATTAAAGCCTTTCTCTTACATATCTGGCTTTAGAAATGATATAAGGAGGCTTATAACTAGAATATAATCTCTCCTCTATCTTCTAATCTTATTAAATAACTATGCCATCCTTAATATGATTATAAACTATTAACTTAGTAAGAATATTAAACAGAGTGGTAGCTAGACCTGGAAGAGGATTCCGCTCGGTTAATGGTGGTACATATGGCTGGCTATACGCGGGGTTGGGTTGGTCCTCAGGTCGAAAGGAGACTATGTATGCTATTTTCTTGATGTAAGTACAGGTCATTGCCTGAATCTATACGCAAATGTGCTGTATCATATGCTCCCTCTTGCCCGTTATCACAGAGGCTTGTCCGATTCGTTGGTCAAATGCCCAGCACTAGTCATGACTGACCG